TACTTTCTAATTGATTACTTTGTGTATCATTATATATAAGACATAAATTAGAAAATTCAATAATTGGTAATACATATACATTATATAATCGTAAAAATGTTTCTACATTTACTCGTTTACATAAACTTTTAATTATATAAAATTTTTTAATAGCCTTATATTTGATATCATTTACATGTAAATTGAATGACATTTTTTGATCATATGTAATCCCAACATTTTTATGTGATGTAGTTTTATTTAATTGAAAATTATTGATAAAATATGTATAATTTTTAATATTTTGTTTCAAACTGATACATAAATATTCACATTTATTTGCATTTAGTTTTAATGTATTTTCATTACAAAATTTCACTAATGTGTTTAAATCATTTTGTAATACCTTAGAATCATTTTCATTATAAATTACTTTACAAAATGTTATATCATCAGCAAAACACATTAAATTTGATTGTATTTGATTAACTAAATCACATAAATAAACATTAAAATATGTAGGAGAGGTAACCCCCCCTTGAAAAACACCTGAAACTACATCTATTGGTTTTGATAATGTGTTTTTATATTTAATAATTGTTTTCCTATCACAAAAACTATCTTCTAATATATCATAAAAATCACCACAAATTCCATATAATTTAAATTTATTTAATAGAATTTTATGAGAAACTGTGTCAAAGGCATCTGAAAAGTCAGTAAAAACTATATGTATTGATTCAACATTTTTGTTGTCTAATGCATTATATATATATTTTTGTAAATTAATGTGTAAATCTGATAAACCTTTTTTAATACGATATCCGTATTGACTAGTTTTTAAAATAAAATTATTTTCTAAAAAAGGTAGTAATTTATTTAAAACAATTTTATCAAATATACGGTATATATTTGATTGAACTGATATAAGTCTATATGATGTAAATAAATGTTTATTTTTGTTGCTTTTCAATATAGGAGTAGCTATACTTTGTTTTAATTTTAATGGTATTTTCTTTAAGAAAATAATTTTATTAAATAAAAAGTATAATAATTTTGTTATACCATTCAAACAACTTTTAATTATAATGTTTTTAATAAAGGAATTTCCATCAGATTTATTATAATTAAAATTTTTTAATGCTATTAAAATGTCATTCATTGAAATATCTATACTTGAAAGTTTTATATCATTTTTATCTATATTTAATTTTATACTTTTATTATCACTGAAAACAAGTTTAGACTCAAATATATTTTTAAAATTATCAACAATTAGGTTGTTATCTGTAATATTGTTACCATTATTATCATTAAAAGATTGGGTAATTGTGTTAAAATTTGTATTCTTAATATACTTATATAATTTAGAAAAATTATTTGATTTATTTACAAAATTATTAAATTTTTTGGATTCAAACATTTCTATTTCATTACCTATTTTATTAGAAAACTTATTATACAAATTTAAAGACACTTTTTTAACTTTACGTCTATTTTTAATAAGATCTCTAATATACCTATTAAAAGGTTTTTTATTTGAAGTTTTAATAGTAATTTTCTTAAATATCTTATTGTATAGTTCTGTATATTTTAACTCAATTACATTATATATATCATTAATATTGTCTATATTTGATGACAAGTGCTCCCAATTTATATCAAATAATACATTATTAAATTTCTGTAAATTATTTTCATTAAAATCATATTTAGTTATATTTTCTTTTTTCTCTCTAATTTTAGTTATATTTACATTGAATTCAATACTTTTATGATCACATTTTGTTGATATATTATTTTTAATATTTAAAGATTTAATTAAATTTACATTATTAGTAAAAATAACATCTAATGCAGATTTTGGAGAAACAAATGGATATGTTGGTTGAGTTTTAATGTTTTTCAATCCATGATATAAAAAATTTTCAATTATAATATTTCTTTCATTGTTATGAATATTTAAAAAATCTATATTTATATCTCCAACAAAACAAATAAAATCATATGATTTTTTATCTAATATTTCAAAACGAGATATAATATAATTTTTAAAATCAATTGTAATATTTGGCGGTCTATATAATGTTCCAAATAATAAAAGTTTATTTTTAATTTTAATTTCAATATATTTATCCTCAAAATTATTATCATTAAATAATATCTCATTTGATTTGTATTGATTTTTTACACCTATAACAACTCCCCCACCTATTTGATCAACTCTATCATTGCGATATAAAATATAGTTATCTAATATTTGTTTGTCTAATATATAGCTTTTTAGCCAACTTTCATTTAATAAGAAAATGTCAAAATTATTATCATAAATATATAATTTAAATTCATTCAATTTGTTTGCCAAACTTCTAACGTTTCCATAAAATATTTTTAATGTTGACTTATCTATTGATGAACTGGTTGTTGCACTGGGAACGGGATCTGTGATGCATTGATTGATGGTATTACCGACGGATGACCAGTTGTGTTGTAATACTGTTGGGATGGGATGAGCAAAAAATTTTGACCATTTGTAGTGAAACTTGAATTTTGACTTTTATTGAAATTATTATTTGATGAATGATTGACATAATCGCGATTCCTATGATTGTTATTATTCCGATGATTATTATTATTCCGATAATTATTATTATTCCGATAATTATTATTATTCCGATAATTATTATTATTTCGATAATTATTATTATTCCGATAATTACTGTTATTATACCAACATTTGTAGGCCAAGTGTCCTGATTTGTGACAGACATAACACACTTTATTATTATTATATTGTTTTTTAGTATTTGACTGTAAATTATTTTGTCTTTTTGTCACAAAATTTTCGAGAATTGTTTCAATATTTTGAAGTCTTGTTTCAATTGAAATACTGTTAATATTGATATTTATATCATCATTGATAACATTGTCTTCATTACTGATCTCATTGCTATCCTCTTTGTTGTCGAAGTTCATGTCATTATCATTATCTTCATTGATATCTTTGATTTGAATGTTTTGAATAGGACTGGTATGTGTTGTTGAGGCCATATTGATAGCATTGGGTACTTTTCCACTCACATTGTTTGCATTAATTTTTGTTAAATCAGTGACAATTGATTTTATTTTATTCAATGATTTAACCACTAGTTGTCTCTTTTTCTCAGCCATTCTGCTGTCACTTATTGTGGACACAATTTTGTTAAATTCAAGTAAAAATTTATTTAAACTCATTTTATTTAATTTTTATTTACTCAAACACATACAGTCATACATAAATATTTATTTCAATTTTCATTATTTTCTTGGAATTGCAATCATATAAAGTAAACATGTATATTTAATCTAGAATTTATTCAAATTAATATTATTTTTAATAAACTATATTTTAGCATTATTAAATTAACTATTGGGTAATATATTATATGAATTTATATTTATTTTTTAATAATACATAATCTTTAACATTAATATAATAATCTAATTGATAATATGTTGTAATATTTTTTATACCCTTTTCTTTATATAATCTAATTGCTTTTATTAAATTTTTTTATACTTTTAATATAAATTATTATTTTTAAAAAATGTAAATTTCATCAATAATTTATTTATTAATATTTATTACTATAATTAAATATATTAATATTTAGTTAATTTGCATATTAGTAATAAAATGATTTTTATTTGTAATCAAAAACTAGTTAATTAAATATGAGATAATGACACAATTTAATATAACCTAGACAACATATGCATAAACTATATAATACACAGATTTTTAAAAGAAAAATTAAACTATTGCTTCATTTAAATTAATAAAAATTTGTAAAAATAGCACAATTGAATTATATAAACGTTTAAATTTTACATTTATATAAAAATAGTCGCTTTAGTTTTTAAAAAACTATACTTAAATCTTTTAATTATTTATTTATTGTTATAAATTTGTTTATTTATTTTTTAAAATTAAAATGATCAGTTATTTAATTGTTTTATTTATTAGCATAAATGGTAAATATAATATAGTATTTTATATCAATATTTTTATGATAAATCCTATAGTTTTTTCAATTATTTTACTAATTAAACAGCTACAGCATATGCAACTCAACCTGAACCAGGTAATTTTTTTATTATTATTTTTTGTTTGAATTTAATTATTATTATTATTTAAATAAAATTAAAAAAACCTATTATTTTAGAGCCAAATGTCGATATTTTAAAGTACGGTACTTATGAACACTGCGAGGGTAAAGATGCGGCCAACTATACAATATTGGAAAAATTAAACCTGGACCAATTTTGTAGCAAAAGTCAAGATAACTTGGACATTGAGGATAATCTAGTAGCATGCTCAGGTAGCAAACAGCGTAGTGTTAATGTCCTAAAGCGACTGTCCATTGCATCATTTCCAGCAGGAGGTATATACTGTTTATAAAATTATTTAGTCAATAATAATAATTATTATAATTGTTTTGTGATATTAAAAAAACTCATAAATTATATATATACACTATTAGCCTATACCCAGTCGGAGAAGCTATGGTTAAGCACCAGTGGTTCGCTAGAAGGCAAGTATGTCTACGAGAAAACTATACATTTGGACAGCGCTTACCTGAAAAAGTGTTCGTCAATATTGGGCTATTCCTATGTGACATCAAAGAGTAGTACTTTACTAATCGCTGACAAACTTGATTTGAATACATTGATATCACCTACCGGTGCCTTTGATGCCTTCAAAAAACAATGCGCTACTGTATGTCAAGGAGTGGCCTATTGTTTCTAAATAATGTTTTAATTAAATTTAATAATGTAATATTTTGTAAAAAAAAATAAATAATTAATGTTTAAAACTTTATTTATTAACAAAAAAAAATAGTAATTAATTTATATTTTTAATAAAATTTTGGATAATTAATTTAGTGAAATATTTTAAATACTAAAAATTTTATAATAATAATCTAATTTTCTAATCATTAAACATATTTTCTATAAACTTATTATTCTGTTTGCAATTATTATGAGGACGTAGAGTACGGGCGACGAGAAGAGTCAGTGCTGACTACCGGTCCAGATGTAGAATACGGGCGACGGGAGGAGTCGGTGCTGACTACTGGTCCTGATGTTGAATATGGGAGACGGGAGGAGTCGGTACTGACTACTAGTCCAGATGTTGAATACGGCAGACGGGAGGAGTCGGTGCTCACTATCGGTGCAGATGTTGAGTACGGCAGACGAGAGGAGTCGGTACTGACTACTGGTCCTGATGTAGAATACGGCAGACGGGAGGAGTCGGTACTAACTACTGGTCCTGATGTAGAATACGGCAGACGAGAGGAGTCGGTACTGACTACTGGTCCAGATGTTGAATACGGGAGACGGGAGGAGTCTGTGCTCTTTACCGGTCCAGATGTAGAGTACGGCCGACGGGAGGAGTCAGTGCTCAATACCGGTGCAGATGTAGAATACGGCCGACGGGAGGAGTCGGTGCTCTTTACCGGTCCAGATGTAGAGTACGGCCGACGGGAGGAGTCGGTGCTGACTACTGCTCCTGATGTTGAATACGGCAGACGGGAGGAGTCGGTACTAACTACTGGTCCAGATGTTGAATACGGGCGACGGGACGAGTGAGTACTGACTACTGGTCCTGATGTTGAATACGGCAGACGGGAGGAGTCGGTGCTCTTTACCGGTCCAGATGTAGAGTACGGCCGACGGGAGTAGTCTGTGCTGACTACTGGTCCTGATGTTGAATATGGGAGACGAGAGGAGTCTGTACTGACTACTGCTCCTGATGTTGAATACGGCAGACGGGAGGAGTCGGTACTAACTACTGGTCCAGATGTTGAATACGGGCGACGGGACGAGTGAGTACTGACTACTGGTCCTGATGTTGAATACGGCAGACGGGAGGAGTCGGTGCTCTTTACCGGTCCAGATGTAGAGTACGGCCGACGGGAGTAGTCTGTGCTGACTACTGGTCCTGATGTAGAATACGGCAGACGGGAGGAGTCGGTGCTCTTTACCGGTCCAGATGTAGAGTACGGCCGACGGGAGGAGTCTGTGCTGACTACTGGTCCTGATGTTGAATATGGGAGACGAGAGGAGTCTGTACTGACTACTGGTCCTGATGTAGAATACGGCAGACGGGAGGAGTCGGTGCTCTTTACCGGTCCAGATGTAGAGTACGGCCGACGGGAGGAGTCTGTGCTGACTACTGGTCCTGATGTTGAATATGGGAGACGGGAGGAGTCGGTACTGACTATTGGTCCAGATGTTGAATACGGCAGACGGGAGGAGTCGGTGCTCACTATCGGTGCAGATGTAGAGTACGGCCGACGGGAGGAGTCTGTGCTGACTACTGGTCCTGATGTAGAATACGGCAGACGGGAGGAGTCGGTGCTCACTATCGGTGCAGATGTTGAGTACGGCAGACGGGAGGAGTCAGTACTGACTACTGGTCCAGATGTAGAGTACGGCCGACGGGAGGAGTCAGTGCTCAATACCGATGCAGATGTAGAAAACGGGAGACGTGAGGAGTCTGTGCTCTTTACCGGTCCAGATGTAGAGTACGGCCGACGGGAGGAGTCAGTGCTCAATACCGGTGCAGATGTAGAATACGGCCGACGGGAGGAGTCGGTGCTCTTTACCGGTCCAGATGTAGAGTACGGCCGACGGGAGGAGTCTGTGCTGACTACTGGTCCTGATGTTGAATATGGGAGACGAGAGGAGTCTGTACTGACTACTGGTCCTGATGTAGAATACGGCAGACGGGAGGAGTCGGTGCTCTTTACCGGTCCAGATGTAGAGTACGGCCGACGGGAGGAGTCTGTGCTGACTACTGGTCCTGATGTTGAATATGGGAGACGGGAGGAGTCGGTACTGACTATTGGTCCAGATGTTGAATACGGCAGACGGGAGGAGTCGGTGCTCACTATCGGTGCAGATGTAGAGTACGGCCGACGGGAGGAGTCGGTACTGACTACTGGTCCAGATGTAGAGTACGGCCGACGGGAGGAGTCGGTGCTCACTATCGGTGCAGATGTAGAGTACGGCCGACGGGAGGAGTCTGTGCTGACTACTGGTCCTGATGTAGAATACGGCAGACGGGAGGAGTCGGTGCTCACTATCGGTGCAGATGTTGAGTACGGCAGACGGGAGGAGTCAGTACTGACTACTGGTCCAGATGTAGAGTACGGCCGACGGGAGGAGTCAGTGCTCAATACCGATGCAGATGTAGAAAACGGGAGACGTGAGGAGTCGGTGCTGACTACTGGTCCTGATGTTGAATACGGCAGACGGGAGGAGTCGGTGCTCACTATCGGTGCAGATGTAGAGTACGGCCGACGGGAGGAGTCTGTGCTGACTACTGGTCCTGATGTAGAATACGGCAGACGGGAGGAGTCGGTGCTCTTTACCGGTCCAGATGTTGAGTACGGCTGACGAGAGGAGTCGGTACTGACTACTGGTCCAGATGTAGAGTACGGCCGACGGGAGGAGTCAGTGCTCAATACCGGTGCAGATGTAGAATACGGCCGACGGGAGGAGTCGGTGCTGACTACTGGTCCAGATGTTGAATACGGCAGACGGGAGGAGTCGGTGCTCACTATCGGTGCAGATGTTGAGTACGGCAGACGGGAGGAGTCAGTACTGACTACTGGTCCAGATGTAGAGTACGGCCGACGGGAGGAGTCAGTGCTCAATACCGGTGCAGATGTAGAATACGGCCGACGGGAGGAGTCGGTGCTGACTACTGGTCCTGATGTAGAATACGGCAGACGAGAGGAGTCGGTACTGACTACTGGTCCAGATGTTGAATACGGCAGACGGGAGGAGTCGGTGCTCACTATCGGTGCAGATGTTGAGTACGGCAGACGGGAGGAGTCAGTACTGACTACTGGTCCAGATGTAGAGTACGGCCGACGGGAGGAGTCAGTGCTCAATACCGATGCAGATGTAGAAAACGGGAGACGTGAGGAGTCGGTGCTCTTTACCGGTCCAGATGTAGAGTACGGCCGACGGGAGGAGTCTGTGCTGACTACTGGTCCTGATGTTGAATACGGCAGACGAGAGGAGTCAGTGCTCTTTACCGGTGCTGAAGTAGAGTACGACCGACGGGAGGAATAAGTGCTGACTACCGGTCCAGACGTAGAGAGAGGACGACTGTATGGATTGGTGTTAACTTCTGGTTCAGTCTTAGAGTACGGATATTCAGTTGATTTAATGTTTTTATGAATACTCAATGAATTTGTACAATAAAATGCACAAAATAATAATAATAATAATAATGATATTAATGTCGAAAAATTCATTTTTAGTTTTATTTTTTATTATTTATTTTTCTATTCTATAATAAACTATCTATTTTTATTTTGTTGTAAATTAACTTATAAATCACAGGCTATTTATATGTTTGCAATTAAATAAAATTATCAAAATTAATCTAATTTAAGTGTCAAATAGATTTTTTGATAATTTTATTTATCGGGACATCTGTCCTAATTTTATACATAATTATTGAGTTATTAGAAAAAATTGTAATTTATTTCATATTTTTTTACAATAATATGAAATATACAGTACTGTCATATATATATATATACTGTATATATATATAAATTTATAATAGCACATTATTAATTAGCACATGTATTGTATAATAGTAATACTTGGAAAATAAGTAATTTAACAATTAAAATACTTGATATATTTATAATTATCAATTTTTATATGTAGTAATTTTTAAAATCAAAATAATATATCACTTTTGTAACCGCTTGCTAAATAGTTAAAGCATTTTATTTAATCAATACAAATTGATAAATATCCTGGATAGTTGAGTGCGTTAATAATCAGTACAATAGTGTTATATAATTATAATTATAATAACTTATTAGTATTGATTATTGAATCAAAATAATTTTAATAATTATGAATCATCATAAAATTGAACCAGGACATTGAATAAAAATTTGATTTAACAATAAAAATATATATTATATTTTTTTTATGTAATTATTTTATTATTAGCATTATATATTTTTAAGACATTTATTAAGAATGAATTACAGTTCTATTAATTTTTTTTGTTATAATTATAAAATATAAAACATTTAATCTAGTATTAGTTATTAAAATTATTAAAACCTAATTTAATTTATATGATATTATTTTATTTAATATAACATAATTTAGAGAAATAAAATTATCTTGTTAATTTTTTTTAATTTTAGCTTGATAAGCTTTAAATTCGGCAAATTCAATAAATCCATCACTATTTAGATCACATTCTTTAAGAAAATAATCAACAGATTCTATATTTAAAAAAAAATTAAATTAAAAAATAAAATAAATATTTAGTTTTTTACAAGTAAGTATCTATATTTTAAATAATTAAAACTTATTAAAATAATTAAAAAATAAATAATTTTTTAAAAAAAATATACCTGATAGATTATCAATATTGTTGGTTACAGTTGTTTGATTGACTTGATTTTCGTGATGATGTTCTATACTATGTATCATACTTTGCATTAATTCTAATCAAATTTGAAATAAATAAATAAAAAGTTTAACAACGAGTAATAAAATTAAAATTCATAATTTTTTAGATAAATACTAATAAAAATTTTCCAATTAATAAATCTAAACTTATAATTAATTAGTAAACAAAAGTAATATCTGTTAACCGAGTCCATCCAGTTTGTCATTGGCATCGAAATCATGTAATTTCATGTAATAATATCCAATTTCTTCGTCATTTATTTTTTCATTTGCCGCCATATATAACAACTTTTTTGCCTCTTCTCGGATATGTCTTTATAATATATATATTAACAAATTGATGTAATTAAAAAAAAAAGTTTTATTATTTTAATTTTAATATAATAATTATTATACTCTGGATCGTGAACTATCTCGCCATAGATATCTCGTTGTTGATTAATATTTGGATCATAAGTTTTAATGGAAACTGTATTAACAATTACTATAAATAAAAATATGTTTACAGAAAATTGTTTCATAGTTTAATTTTTTTAAGATAATAATTTAAATAATCTACTTATTTTTATTTTGACTCAATTTAAAGAAAAACATTTAAAATATTGAGAAAAAAATGAAAACGTGTCACTCATACTGTAATGTAAAAAAATGCTGTTATTTATAACAAAATGTTTGTCTCTAACGATGAGTTGCAATAATTATCATAAAAATGTCTTAATATGTAAATATTAATATTATATTTATAAAAACAATTCAAGCACAACAAAACAAAAATAACTAATTATTTTAAATATTACACAATATTACAGTATTATATTTAAAAGCATTATTAACTATACAACAGAGTATATACATAATTTAAATTATATTTAGTTACTAAATAATTATTTAAAAACATGATATCTATATATTAATAAGTTAATAATAATAATCTAATAATTAGTTTAATTTAATTAATTTAAAAAAATTAGTTTTTATTTTTTTGTTCGACATGTTTTAGATTCAGCAAAATCAACAAATCCATCATTATTTTGATCGCACTCTTTAAGAAAGCTATCGATAATTACTATTAAATATATTTGTGAGAAAATAAAATTTTTAATACATTATTGATATATTAAAAATTAATTATTAGTATTAATATAATAATAATAATAATAATAATAAATTATGAACCTTCTAGTTTATCAATAGTAATGCTACGATTTATATCATTTTTATCATTTACTGGATGATACTCTATGTCATGTATCATTGCTTGTGATAATTCTATATATATTATAAAAATGAATAATTAAACTAAAATAATAATAATAATAATGTTAACTTAAATAGTTAACAATTATTTTATAGAAATTTAGATAAATTAAAAAAAATTAAAACAATTAAATCTGTTAACCAATTCCATCGAGTTTATCATTGCCATCAAAATCATGTAATTTCATATAATAATAGCCCAACTCTTCGTCATTTATTGTCTTATTTTCTTCATTTGCCGAAATATATAACAATTTTTTTGCCTCTTCTCGGATATGTCTATATATTAATATATACAGTATATATCACATAAAAAATAATATAGTTTTGTAATAATTTATAAAAATTAATATACTCAGTATCGTGTAATATCTGGCCATAAATATCCAGTTGTTTAGTAATGTTTAGTTCATATGTTATAATAGACATAGCATTTAAAATAAGTAAAACTAAAATTATAAAAATGTTTTTATACATAGTTTAGCTAATTTCTAGTTTATAAATATATAATTTTAATAAAATGCAAATTATATCATTTAGTAAATTAGTTGAAACATAAAACGTGTCACTTAAAAAACTTAAGTTTTTAACTTTTATTAATTATTTAAAAATACAATTATTTTTTTTAAAAATGTTTTACTCTAACGATGAGTTGCAATAATTATGATACTATTTATTTAATACAATTTCATATTACGGTATAATTATTGATATAAAAACATTGCTTATAACAAAATATTGTTTAAAATATTAATTGATTAAAAAAATATATTAAAATTAATTACTAAAAACATTTAAATTAAAAATTATATTAATTAATTGGTTTATGAAGTAATGTTAATAACCTAAAAAAACTAAATATTAATTAATAGTTAATTTTTCAGTAGAGTTTTGTTTCAATTTTTCAGTTCTCCATATAATTAGCAACAATACGGCAAATAAGGCAATACTAACTCCCAGTGCTATCGATTCAATTAGTATGAATATATCGGAAAACTGTTTGATGAACAGTCCGATTATATAGGGCGGTGCTATATTGAATGATGACATAAACACAATCAGTACTGTTCCCACCATATTTGTCATACGTATGTGTTGGCCAACAAATGCAAACACCGATTGTATTATAGCCGATATGCCGATACCGATAACAACATTGGCCACCCATAGCATAGTCATGTTTGTGCGACCAAATGCAAGACACACTATTCCTGATTGTTTAAAATATAAATATTATATTAAGTAATTTTAGATAAATGTGCTAGAAATGTAGGTCAATAGTTTATAACTAGAAAAATAGATAGATAAGGGAGAGTTACCTATGCAACAGATGACAAAATGCGAGGACAGCATAATTTTTGTGGACACTTTGATAGCGATGAATACACTGAGTCCACGAAACACAGTGTACGGTGTGGTAAACGCTGTGATAACTTCAGTAGCTTTTGAGGCCGATATGTCCAGTGGACTGTACTGGAAATATGTCGATGCAAACGTGTAATAGGAGGCCTCAAACAGATTAAAACTGCCGACCAAACTGGCCAACAATATTAGAGCTGGCCATCGATAACGAGGATAAATGTCAAACAGTTTGTCTAGACTTTCACTGTCATCTCTTTCTTTACTAGCAATAGATTTGTTAGACTTCGTGTCGTTGTTGTTGTCAACACTTTTATTGTCCACTTTATCATCGATGACGGGTTGATATCGCTTTACGAGAAACATAATGAACAGTAATACAGGAACTGTATGTAAGTTTTAATTATAAGACTCCAGTATTATAAACAAATATATAAATTAGTAATAAAATGTTCAAATATACTTACATATCATTTCAATGATACCGAGTATAAGGAACGGCACTTTTAGAAGTTCCCGTCGATGTTCCTCATAGTCTAGATTATAACCATAGGTTACGGGATCAACTGTAGACACTATTGGCACAATAGTTGTTGCGTTGTTACTATTGGGACCAGAATACGGGTCCCTAAGATATGGTTTCAACAGTAGAGGCGATATTACAGTTCCCAAACCAAACGTAAAGCCCGGTATCTGAAGTATGGCCGCACTCTTATTGCCCCACATTTCAATGATCCACACATTGACCACACAGTTGATGATACCGGTGCCCATTCCCAAAAATATAGCACATGTATAGAGGACATAAAGGTTGGGCGAGTGTGGTATAAATGCCGTTCCTAATGCCATTGCCACCAAAAATATGGCCAAAACTAGCTGACGGTTTAGGTATTTAATCAGAAAGCCGACTGTTATATAATAGGAAAGGTATACAAAAAATTATAATTATATTTACTGTTAGGTTTATTATACATATATAGATTACAAATTATATAGAAGTTTACAGCTCTTACATAACGATCCCAATAGAAAGCCTACGGATGTGAATGTAGTATACAATGTCATGTATTGGGTGGACGTCTGCAATATGTCGACCATTTCGGTCAACACCGAACCGATAGCTGTAAAACACATGGCCTGCAAATCAAAATTTTTTTAAATAGTAATTAATAGTAATTAATTTTTTTAAAAATTATATAAAATTATTAATTACAAATGACATATGATTGATGCACAATAAACCTGTGTACACATATTTATCCCAATTCATTAACATTGTAGATCACAAATTAATATAAATATTTGTATAATTATTATATAAGAAATTTATATTTAAGTTTTTTAAAATGTGTGTTTATTTTGAAATTAGTTTTTTTATATTTATTTACAATTGATATAATTATAACATTATAATTGATTAATAACAGTAATATGTAAAATTATTTTTACGTTGAGTTAAACAGTGTGAAAATACTTTAATAATTTGTAGTAATTATTGGTATACTTAATAAAAATAATTTATTAGCAATTATCAATGAATAAATTATAAATATAATTTACAATTAAATTACAATATATATAATAGTATTTTTAAGTTTTATTATAAACTTTGAAAAATAAATAAATTACTAAAATTAAATAATTATATTTGTATGTTACATAAATTTTAAGTAAGCTATTGATATATAATTTTTTTAAGTTCAACTTAAAAAACGTCATAGATACAATTGTCAATTTGGTAAATAGTAATATTAATCATAGTTAAATATTTTACAATACTAAAAGTAGTAATTAATTTTTTAAGTGTTTATCTATTAATTACATATATTTTAGCTACTATTGAAAAAAAGATAATATTAAATAACTGATTAAATAAGATTGAGGTAATCAATAAATAACAAATTATATAATCTAAGTAAACTATTATAGCTATAATTTATATTTAATTAGTTATTAACCTAAATTTAATTTAATTTATCTATAATATAAATCCAAATTAATTATAGTTGTAGAATGTCAATAATATTTGAATTGATAAATTGTAATTCATTAATAAATATAACTAAAATTATTATTTTAAATAATTACTATTTATTAAACTAATCATACTAAATGTTTATTATTATTATTATTATTATTATTATTATTATTATTATTATTATTATTATTATTATTATTATTATTATTATTATTATTATTATTATTATTATTATTATTATTTAGAAACAATTATTATTTATTACATATTATATTGTTTTTTATATAAGTTATGAGTATATTATGTTTATTAAATATAATAATTAATTGCTATCTTATTAATTTTAAATATATTTATATTTATATAATTTTATGAATTTAACAATCTATTTATACTGTTATTTAATTGATTACCTCAATTTTTTAGTTATTTAATATTATCTTTTTTCAATAGTAGCTAAAATATATGTATATACTGTATTATACTAGAAACTTTTATAAAAAATTAAATTGTTTAATATATGATATCTTATGTAGAGTATACATTGTATATTAGTCAACAAATATATATTACTCTATCAAGGTTAATTATTTAATTACAAATAAAATTTTCTATTTATTAATGCTTTTTAATGTTTTACATTAATTTTCACTATATATAATTTAAAAATACTATATATATATATATAATTATTTCAATGAACTATGATATTTAAATACAGTACTTAATTCAAGAAAACATGTACTTTAGCTTAAATATCATTAGTTAATGTACAGTACATTATAATCCCAATTATCATTAATAATCTTAATAATAATTATTATAAATAAAATTTCAATATAGCTAATTAAAAATTTTATTTATTTAATTTATAGTAATAAATTTATAATATAAATAATTATTTATAATTAAATTACATAAAACACGTATACGGTATATAGTTTTATGAATTTAAAAATCTATTTAATTAATGTTAGTTCGAAACGTTATGAAAATAATTGAAAAACATGATATTATTATTATAAAATTTAATTAAAATATATTTTATTTAATATTTATTCGCATATCACAGTATATATTTAAAATAAATATTTTTTTATGATTTACTGATTGATATAAATGTATGAGATTTTAATCCAACAAAATGACTTGTGATATATGAATGTTATTAAATTTTTTAAAAAATAGTATAAATTGTATTAATAAAAATTTTCTAAAACCTAATTATTTCTGTTATGAATATAAATGTTTAATAATAAATTTATAAATTAATAAAAACAAACATACTTAAACAACATAATTGATTACCTAATTAAAAATACTATTAAATATACTAAAAAATACCATAAAAATTAAAAAAATAATAAATTAATAAATTAAAAATAGAGAATTTGCCTAAAATCAACTCAATAGCACCGGTATTATAAAGTTGTCAAAAAATTTGTGGTCATTTGTCGCTTCCGTTTCTCTGTTTTAAAAACTATCAATAATATGATCACAAATACGCCACTACTTAACGCTATATTACTAAACATAATGTATGTAAAAATTTGTGGATATTTCTCGATGAACAGTCCCATAAGGAACGGTATAAACATATTTAATGTTTCGGCCGAAAACAATAGGACAGTACCGATACGATTCTTTACGTCCATATATTGAGCTAAATAACAATAGATACTGCATATGATAGGCGATAGACCGTAACTCATGATCATTGCACCCGTCCATAGCATCGTTAGACAAGACTGGCCAAAATGGACAACACCGAGACCCAATACGGTTATGGTTAAGTGTACTACAATGATTTGTTGGGGCCGTAACTTCATCGACACAAATATGTTGATACCGCGACCCACTGTAAAGGTTAGGGCCATCGATGACATCAATGTGGCCGATGTCTGAGCGCTTAATTTGAGTGGTATGTACTGGAAATATGTGGCCGAAAACTGCATGTATATAATCTCAGAGGACAACTGAAAGGCTAACAGTGCCGATACAAAGCCTATCAATAGTACTCGTTGTCTGTTTTGTGTATAATATGTGGTGATTGTTGTTTGTGGAGAAGTAGTTGACTTATACGGTGTACTGCCGTTATCTATACATGCGGTCATCGGTTTGATCTCCAAGTGATCGACAGTATTGTTGATCACCAGTTCCTCGTCGACCGGTTCTCGTTGTTCGTGATCGATGGCCGCTTCGCTCATCATAAGCACCGGTGTATACGGTGAGGCCGGTGTATTACACGGGTGGGTCTCCTTTTCAAACAACTTGCGTACGACTATCTCGTTACTGGCATTTGACTGATTTTCACTGATCATATGATTTCGGTTCTCGTATTTGCGGCAAATGTACATAAGTAACATCAGTATAGCACCTGTAGGTTACATATAAATTAAAATATTGATTAAGTAAATGCTTATAAGTGAATAAATTAATATTTTTGTGTAGATATAAAAATTTTGTTATTCTAAATAATTAATTATTATAAAAATTTGTAATGATAGATATTTTTCATGTATTTGTATTTTCATATGCAATTGTTATATTTGATTGTATGATATAATGAAATTCTAAATACTAAAAATTGAATATTTTTAAAAACTTTTGTACAGTATATTTAATATATAACAAAAAAAAATAACTGAAAAATTCTACTATCATTATAATAGTCACATTGATCTGGGAAATAATTTGGCATTTTGAAAAATATTTTTTTTTATCTAATTATTTGGAAACCATATGAAATTGTTTACTTTAATCAATTCATAGTTATTTATAGCTTTAATAATAATACTGACTCTGAAACTGTATAAACATAGAGAGTACTGGTCTAAACTGCTTTAATTTGCAAAACTAGTAATCACTAAATCGCTATAATGTTTATGCAATGTGTGAATAGATTTTTTTGAAATAATAAAAAAATATTATCATTATTTTCATTAAAATTTTTATAATATACATGTTATTTAGGTATAATTCGATAAACACGTGACAAAAATCACGTATTCTGTCTGCACTACTACTACTACTACTATACGTACCAACTATTTGCAGAATACCAATGATTAGGAAAGGTATCATCAACTTAGACTGTCTGTCGTCGCTGTCATTGCTATTGACATTGATTTCAGGGACACCGGCTAACTGAGCACCGGTAGTAGCAGTAGTTGTACTAGCTGTCGTGGCATTAGTATCCAGGTACCGGTGCGGTTCACCAGTAACAAATTGTTTATCAATTAAAGGTCCAATTATGGTACCGATGCCGTACAGAAACGAGCACAGGTGCATTACAGGTGCGTTGCGTTTTTGCCAAATCTCGATAAGCCATACAGTTTTTGCATTACTCCAGGCACCGGCGCTCGTGCCCACCAAAAATGCGCAAACATAGAGCACCCAAACGTTGCCGCTGTTTGGTATTGAGATACAGGCGCCTGACATACACGATACCAGTGCAATGATAACCAGTTGTCGATTGATGTACTTATAAAGTATGCCGACTATAATATAAAGTGTGTTGTGAAATAATACAAAAATTAGTGATCAATTTTTTTTTGATTTCTATTTTATTGATAATTGTTGTCAATTAAGATTGAAATTTGATAAATAACTTAATAAATATATATTAATTCTTTTTTTGTTTATTTTTTCAATAAACAAATTGCTTAAATTAGATAAATTATAGTTACTATACTATATATATCGCGGTATAATTGTGCTACAATTGGTAATTTTATCATGATTAAAAATTTTTAATAGTTACCAGGCACAAGTAGTATAACTGACCTAATTTAATATTGACAATTGATAAAAACAAAAAATTTTTACACACGAATTGTTATATCATTTGGAAACTTTTATTCAGTGAATTTAATAAGTAATCTCTAAATTAAGTATTTTAAGTATATATAAAGTACTGTAACTGTATATATATAATTATATATATATATTTAATAGATTTTTAATCAGAAATTGAAGAAAAAATGTTGTTTACTCTATTCCCTCAAACAACTGATATGAGCTGTCAATATATATGTAATTTTAGATAATAAAGTCACAGAATGGGTCTAATTTATAAAATATCTTTTTTATATAAATTACAAAAAATATAATGCATTACATGCTTTTTGATACTTCCGATTAATGTACTAATGATTTATGACTATTTGACAAATATTTTTTAAAAATTAAATAAAACAGTTTTCTATTTCAAATTATTTCAAATAATATGAACTTTATCTTTAGATTCTAAAGTATTTTGTAGATATTATATCTGGTTTTTAAATATAATTTTTCTAAAAAAACTGCACGCTTTAAAAATTTGCTATTAATAATTATAATAAATTTATATTTTAACATTTACTCTTATAGAATATAATAGTTTTTTATCATTGATATAATATTTATTATACTGTATATAAAAGTGCATTTATTACAATCACTGGAAATTATTAAAATAATATAACAAACAGTTGTTGTTATGCATATAAAGTGTGTGTGTGTGTATGTGTGTGTGTGTGTATGTATGTATGTATGTATGTGTGTGTGTGTATGTATGTGTGTGTATGATAGAGAGAGAAAGAAAGAAAGAGAGAGAGAGAGAGAGAGAGAGAGAGAGAGAGAGAGAATTAAACAATTTATTGTTTTGCACTAAAGTATTTGTATAGTTTTGAAAACAAAGTCTAAAAGCCTTTTTTATAGGGACAGCATATTTTATTTTTTTACTAGAGTGCACTGGCCTATCACTCACGTACTACCCTTTTATACAGTATTTGTTTAATTAAATCAACATTGCTAATTTTAATATTTTTATTTTCTAAAAAAATTATTTATTATATAATTAACTAAAAAAATGTTTTACTAATTTACTAATATTTTAAAAATCTTGTATAAATATAAAATATATATATAAAAAATTATCATTTAAAAAATTCAAATTTTTCTATAGCATTTATGTGAATGTTTTCATTAATATAATGAGTTTTTTGTATTATAAATAAAATGTTTATAACACTTACACAATGAGCCGATTAGATATCCAACGCTTAAGAAAAATGAAAACAACGATATCTTTTCCATAGATGTGTTTAATATGTATTTTAAGTCTACAAATGAGGGTCCAAATGATGATAAACCCATACCCTATAAAATAAAAATAAAAAGTATTTATTAAATAAATTTTTAAAAAATATAACCAAAAACTTATTGAACATTGAATAAACAAAAAATAATAAATAACATACAAATGTAATATTAATAAAGCATATGATGACTGTATAGATATATTTATCCCATCCATCCATTGTCTGTTTGGATACAGTATTAGCTTTGAAACAAAATTTAAATATCGATAACATTTGACTGTTTGTCAATTTGTGTTCAAAAATAAAAACTTTTTTAATTAAAATTATTTTATTATAAAAAGCTTTTAATTAATACATAACTATTTTACTAATATTTTAGTACAGTATATTAGTTTATGTAAAACGTTATGTTTTTCACGTAACTTTATTATTATTATTATTATTATTATTAATATTAGTGAAATCCAAAACTTACAAAAATGTTATTTAATGTACAGTAATTATAATAATAATTTACTGTAATATATACTGCAGAGTGTATATATTTTTACTAATATATCAAATTATTATTATTACAAATTATACAATAAACTTATACTAAGTTTAAAAATATATATAAATCTTTACTAAATTTATACTATTTTTCAACAACAAAAATCTTTAAATATTTAATTAATGCAAAAAATTAAACTTAAATATTAGCACAATGTTTGGCGTCAATTGAGAACATAAATTAATATATATTAACAAACATCCGATATGTTCACAACTTTTTTTTAAATAATAATTTAATTTTTATTTTTGATGAAAAAAGTTTGTGTGAGAGACAGTTATATATGAAAAAGTTAAAGCAATTTGTCTCCTCTTATAATATGTTACGTCACATACGCGCTATTATGATGTGTGAAAATCATACTTATTTGTTGTGTGACTAATCACGTGATTGGATTTTTTAAAAAGTAAAATAATTAAACATAATAAAAATATTTTAGAATTTTTTTTTGTTAATATTAAACAATATAATTAAAAGTTTTATATTTAACTAGTATTATGACTATTTATCTATAACAAAAATTTTTATTAAATTATTTAAATAAACTTTTTTTTAAAGTGTTAAATAATTTTTTATAATTTTTTTATATATAATGTATGTGTTCAACATACTAATTTATATAAACTGTATATTTATTATATTTACAGTAGATATAACATATATATTATATAATATTATTAAATAAAATTTAAAAGTTATATTTTTTGTTTTTTCAATTTAATATAAATTTATTTAACGTTTTTTAAAAAAATAATATTTATTAAGTATAGTGATTCATTCTGTATGTTGTCGTTATGTTTTTAACACTGTATATGTATTAACTAAATGTAAAGTTATAATCATTTAATTCAAAGTACAGTTTAGAGCTCATAACCGGAGACTATTTTAGAAACCAAACCGTTGTGACGTCATATTTAAAAAATTTGTTCATCTTTTTAATATACATATATAGTACACTATTAATACAACAAAATACTGATAATTTATCATTGATAAAATAATAATTAATTTAACTAATAGATAATAACAATAATAATAATTTATAATTATAATAATTATTACATATAAATTAATATCTATTCTTTAATAAAATATCATAAATAACAATCGTTAATATTATTTAGAAAAAATTGTTATATAGTTGGAAATGATTTTTTCAATAATCATATTAATTGGATAATAAAAAACTAAAGTACGTATTCTAGACATAAAATATAATTCTTAAATTAATCATTAATTGCTTAATTAGAATATCTATTATAAAGTAATATTAATACCAAAACATTTAAAACCCGAAACCGTTTTGATTCCGATTTCTAGTTCAATGTACTTAAACATAGTTGTTGTTGTTTTTAGGTACACAAAGTTTATTGTGAACCATAAATTATAAAATAACATCTATGATAATAATTATAAAGTAATTATTAATAATATACAGTATTTTGTTAATATAGATATTAAAAATATTAATTTCATTTGTTATCAAAATAAATTGATTTACAGAAATACATTATATGGATATTACTTTTAAATTATAAATATTATGTAATTGCAATAATTATGATTAACAATTTTTTTATTTTAGATAATATTTGTTAACAATTTTTATGTGGCATCAATTAAAATATTTATACTATAGTTTATCTATTTTAATTTCATAAAATAAATAGTATTATTTTTCATAATTATAAATTTCTAAATATGTTAGTAATAGTTGTTACAGTTTACAAGTACTGTAAAGTGCAACTACAGTATATATTTATAGTATACAATTATGTACTAGATAATTTCAAAATTAAAAATAATAAATAGTATTTTTTAAAAATATCAATATAAATTATCGATATAATATTAGATATATAAAGTTTTCAAAGTAATTTTATTAATATAAAGTAATAATAATTCTTTGCATTTTAATTATAAAAATGATATTTAGAAATATTAATATTAATTTTACCCAAAAAATACTTTTAAGTACAATATTATTATTACACATAAAAGTGTTAATATAAGATATAAAATTGCAATTTATTAAATGAAATATTATTTTGACTGCTATTAGAATTGATAAATATTGCTACACTTTAGTACACTAAAGTACATTTGTATTTAAAAATAAACAATTTAAATTTATAAAACTTTTAATTATTTAAAGATTTTGTTATATACTTTGTAAAATATTTATTTTTTATTATTTGAATTTAATATAAAATAACAAACAATATTTTTAAAAGATAAAAGTTATGAATATATTTATAAATAAAACATATATTTACAATACTACATGTTATTTCAGTTGAAAGTATAAATCCTATATATAATTATTTATTTATTTAATAACTATATTTAAATACATATAATATTTAATCATAATGAATTATATTTTAATCAAGTACATATGTTCATTAACTTCATTGATATTATATTTTAAATAATATTTCAAGCTTTTAAAATAACTAAATCTGATATTTTTTAAAATTATTATCATTAAAATGTTTTCAATTATGATAAATGTTTTTACATGCATTCGATTTAATAAATTATTGCATTTGTATATTTAAAAAAGTAAAAAATATTCAATAATTATTTTTTTGATATTTATTCATTAAAAATTAATCGATGATAATAATATTTAGAATTAATATAAATTAAAGTAATTTATTATTTTAATGATTACGTGATATTACTCATGCAATGTATATTATATTACCTGTTAATTATTAATATTTTTAAATATAAAAACTCATTATTTATAATAATAATAATATTTATAAAATTATAAATATTTTTATTTTTTAGTAGAACTGTTTAATCTATGTTAACTTTTAAGTATATTTTTATATTTTGTATGTTTAATATTATTAATATAATAAATAAAGTTTACAATTTAATTGTATAATTAATTTTAATATTTTTAATTAAAGAACTTAATAAGATTTTTTTAAGTAATATTAAAATCTAATTTATAGAAATAAATATAATTTTTATTTACAGTATATCAACAAAACAGTAATAATTAATTGTGTATCAAAATAACTTAATAAACATTTAATTATAAAATGTATTTTAAACAACTTTATTTCTCAATAATTTTTTCAAGATAAATGCAATACTTATCAATTTGTATAATGTTTAATAAAATATTAATTTTTTCTAAAGTGTTTTTATTTTTTTACATAAAATAATTATATAATATATTAAATTGATACAAACATAGATAATTTAAAATACTGTTTTAACTTATATTATAAAGTAATTGTTTAATGATATATTTAGTTGAACATTGATACTAATATAATCAATATGTTAAATATTACTTTATAATATAGTTATGATTAATCAATTCAAATATCGTTTATTTGTAGTCCAATAAGCAATTAATGAGATAATAGTTTAATAAAATAATCAATTAATAGAGTAATAACAGACTTTAATAGATCCATATATTATATTGTAATATCTTATTGTTATGTTTACTATTTATTTACTATATAAAAGTAAGCAGATTTATATTACTTTTAATTAGTTGTCTAGTTATATATAATTTACAGTAAATTAAATAGTTGTTACAAATAGACATAATATAAATAATTTTTTTTATAAATTTATTTTAAACAAACTAATTATTAGTTTATTTGAGATATTGTTTTCATTTTTAAAAAATGAAAATGACATTGCTTTTTAAAACTAATTTTATTAATAATTTATGTTTATTATTATTACTAATAATAAATATTACAAAGTTTGCATACAGTAATAATAATAAATATAATAATGATGACCAAGGTAATTATGAAAAATATAACTTTATGACTATTGTTATTATTTATAATATTTACACTGAACTAAATATAATGCAGAAAAAATAAAAGTGAAAAATTGGATTGTTGTGGATAAAGGATGGCCACTACAAGACAATTATGATAGATATATACGTCAAAGGAGTTGGCCATTCTACTTTATTGAACATGAAATCAAAAGTGGTACACAATGGAAAATAGGACAACAAATTATCGATGAATTCAAAAATAAAAATAATACAGTTTTTAGATTAAGTTTCAAGGTAATTTTTGTTTGTTTTATAATTTATAAAAAATTAATATGATTTTGATATATTTAGTATATATTTATAAATTTTATTAAAAGTTTTCAATATATAACTTAATAATATTAATTAGCATTTACTTAAATATTTAAACAATTTATATATTTTTAAAAAAAAGTATTGGGAGTACGGCATCGACTGGTGGCCACAAACAGTGGTCAATGCCGACGGTTACGGCACTAGCGATGAGATAACTAACTTATTTTTCATGTATCTAAAAAATTATCGCAAAAAAGATGATACAAGTGGTCTACAATACTGGATGCCAATCGAATACAGTATATCCTATCAACAGTTATCAAAATTTTCCATTGCATTCGAAACTTTGAAAAATAACAATATTGTTGCATTTAAAGATATTAAATGTAAGCTAGACAATTTTATTATTATTATTATTAATATAGAGTTTTTATTAAATTAATTAATAATTATTTAGTGGAATATTTGGATGAATCGGATAATTTTGAAGAAGATATTTATGATTCAAATTATGTCTATCAAGATCTAAAAATTGATAATAAAGATTATGATACAGTCTATGCAATGGATTCAACACATAAAGACACATACAATATGAATACCGATTATGTCTATCAAATTGAATACAATTATTTGGGTGAACCACGCGATATGGAAATCATATTTGAATATAGATTATCCAATGACCTAGATCGAATTAGAAATAGATTCTATTCATTTAGATTACAAAATATTGCTTTTAAAGATATAAATTTAAATCTTAATGAATTTTTGGCAATGACCGGGGCTAATTTCTATATATATGCAAAAATTCGATATTTTAAAGATCGCCGATCGCCACCTAAATCATCAATTGTGACAATTACTAAGTCAACTGAAACAACAAAAAAGACAACTAAATATCCTAAATATTTATTGCCAATGAAAGATGGGATCAATTGGAATAAATTGATTGATGGAGAACGTAATGTTTGGAAAGAAATACCACAAATCAAAGATAAACAGTATTTTACATTTGAATCCAATAATATTAAATTTAATGGTAAATATACACTATATATTAATTATTTGTTTAATATTATATAAAAAATAGTATTTTATTTTTTTTAAAATTTATGATTAATAATGTTAAGCAAAAACTTTATTAGTAATAGACACTATTATTATTAATAGTATATAATATCACTAATGTAGTATATCAACTAAGATAAATTATTTAATTAATATGTATTAAAAATAAATTTTAGTACAATATGTGATGAATATTTTTTTAATTATATTAATTAACAGCTGAAACAAACAACGAACAAATAGCAACTGCATCGTTGGTCAGTCAATGGATAGTATGGGACAAAAATTTGTTAACTGTGCATGGTCAATTTCAAATAACAGTAGATAATGCCGACGACTTTCACGGTTTCCGAGTTCGGCCCCAACTATGCGATTGGCTGTTCAGGTGTGGCGACGCTGTCATACAAAGCACTGTTGTTTCTGAGGACAACAAAACCCGAACATTTAAGTTCACATTTGCATTGATTAGCGATTCATCAAATTATGTAAAATTACATTTTCGTGTCGACTATTTTAGACCGTCATATATGGCTGAATACGGCAGTAATTCAACATATTTGACACAATTCTCATTAAAATTACTACATTTTGGTGACCCATGTTTTCCTGAACTACAGTCTAGTAAATGTGTCGGTCATTATGAGGAATGCCAATCAATTGACTATTCATCTAATAATTATCCAAATGATCCCCAATGTCAATGCAAAATTGATTATATCCAGGATAAATATTGTGACAAAATTAATTATTGTGAACACCAATATCAAGATGAAATAATAAAGGTTTGTAAAAACATATAATTTAATTTCTTAACTTTATATAAATAATTAATATAATTATTATAGCCATCAATAAGTGGACGAAAATATTGTAATACAAAGTTTATGCTAAAAAAATATAATTGTAAACCAATTAATAATGATTTTGAATGTTTATGCGGTACTACTAATAATTTACCAGATCCTACTGATCAACTAATTAATTGGAATGCAAAAGAGTAAATTAAATAAATTAAATTTTGCTTAATATTGTATGTAATTAACTATAATTTTTTAATAGACATAAATGCGAACCAATTGAAATTACTGGAAATTGGGAAAAAACTACTGATCCGAAAATATTTATTGCACCCGAAAAACAAACAAATAAACTTAAAGTTAATTTTATACCAGTTTTATCTGATTTAGACGTTTGTCTTGAAATTACTACAACAATACCAAACAAAATTGGAATAAACTTAGATATTCAATATGAAGAAAACAATTCTATATTACCAAGTTTATTTTTATCAAAAACAACAAGTCCACAAAACTTTCAATTATGTTTAAAAGATTACATACCTAATTTACCCGATAAATTTAGCGTACATTTTTTGGCACCAAATAATTTAGATAAAAATGATTTAAAAATAGAAATTAAAGCTTTTTTGCAAATTAAAAAAACGGCAACACCATTTATAACAAATTGGAACGCTATGACAATACCAGAAACAAAAGATCAAATTTGGACACAATTTCCTAACAATAAATTTGGCAAATTCGAGACAGATCCTATTACTCCAAAATTTAAAATGAATTATAATTTTATGGGTAATTCATATTTTATATTCATATTAATATATTTATTTCTAATATTTTTTTAATCAATTTAATGTAGTCAATGAGAAACTAATAAAAACTTCGCATTATTTAATTACTCCGTGGATTAGTTATAACGCGAATTTTAAAACTACACCAAATTATACATTTACTATTGAGTTTGAAGATAATAATGATAAAATTGGTCAAGATATTAATGTTTACTTATTATATCAAAATGGTAACAAAATTACAAGTGAAGTTTTATGGCGAGATAGTAGACATGGAACTGATATAATATGCAAATATATACCGGAATTTAGTTTGAATAATATTCAAGGAAATGACTTTAAAATTATCATTGAATTTCAATTTAACGATAAATATGATTTTTATAAAAAACATCAATATCCAATAACTGTTAGTGATATAAATATTGGTGATAGTTGTTTTGACAATGTTGGGCGACCTGTTTGCAATAATGATAAATGTTTACGTGTAAAACCTAATCAATTTCAATGTGTTTGCCCACAAGGCTTGAAAGGAATACTTTGTGATGAAATTGATAAATGTACATTGAAAAGTAAAATTGATGTAAGTTTTAATAAATATTGATAAAAGATAATTGTATATATTTAACATTTAATTTTTTTAGGGTTTTACAAATCAAGAGTATTGTAAATTTTTTGCCAATGCTGATTGTCAACATTTGTCAGCTGATAAATTTATGTGTAATTGTCAACAACCATATTATCAATGGAATCAAGATCAATTAATGTTAGTATTATTTTATTACATAAAGATTATTATTAAATTAAACAAAACAACTAATTTTATTTATATGAAAAATATTTAGATGTGAACAAAAAACTTTTGTAAAAACAAAATCAAAAACTTGTGATAAAGGAAAGTGTGTTATATTTGACAGCATTAATACAGTTATGAGATCTACTAATGAATTGATGCCAACTTTAAATAGAGATAATTATTTAAAATTATTGCCATTTTATCTGGGCTTTCAAAATGAAGGCACAATTGAGATACCGGTTCCAAAACAAAAATCTTCTGACCCTAAGCTCAATGTCGATACGTGTTTGAAACTGCAATACAAGTTATCAACAACTAAATCAAAACTAATGGTTGCTTATAATGACAATAAACCCATAGAATTGAATACAATTGAATATAAACCCGACGGAGAGCTAATTAATTGGCAAAATGAAATAGTGTGCGCCAATCAAATTAGTAAAAATGTGGATGAAAAGTCACCCATACAAACATTTATATTAAATCCATCAATTTATTCAAAAGATAGTGATATGGTTGCCGTCAAAATTGAACAAAAATTTGTTGATCGATCAGATGGTGTTCCGTATGAAAAATTAAGTCCAATACCATTTTTAACTGCATTTAGCGATAATGATAAAGATATAAATTTCACTGCAAGACATCAATGGGTTACACAATTTCCCTATAAAATACCAAATGATATTAATAAACCATACTGGTCGTTTACAAATAAATACAAAGTGTCAGTTATAACTTTTTCTCGTAAGTATAAATTATTATATTATAATATTTATTAATTTAATTTATATAATTAAATATATTTTAGCTCAAGTTCAAACAATTGATTCAAATTATGTGTCGACATTATATAGCAATTGGATTGATCCTGGTCAACAACCAAAGCAATTTATAATGAATTTTGTAATTAATAATGATTATAAAGACTTTGTAATAGAATTTTTATTATTTGATAAACATATGAATGAAATAACACACAATACAGTAATCGGTGATCCAATGATTTCATCAAAAGTAAGTCTGAAGTAATACTGAAGTATTATTAGTTCCACAGATATAAATAATTTTATTTTCATTTTAAAACTATTGTATATAAAAAATTTATTGATTGTTTAGGTAGATATTACTTATAAAAAAGGATCTAAAGTTTCCATTGATTTTGGAAAACAATTAAATATATTTAAAATAGGATTGAGAGCTACATATAGATTGCCAAAAGTATTGACACAATTAATACAAATTGAATCATTGACTGCTGGCGATCCCTGTTATGATAGAGATAATAGACATTTTTGTCACGGAAACGGTGTATGCATTAGTCGATATCCTTATACACCCAAAACAACAACATGTAATTGTTATAATGGATTTACACAGCTATCACATTGTAAAATACAAGATTTTTGTCTGTCCACTGTTGAGGTGATTATTTAATTAACAAAAATTTTATTACAAAAAAATAATAGATTTTTATTAACAGTTACCAAATGGTAATACAGGTTATGACTATTGTAGAATAAATTATCTTGGTCAATGTATATCTAATACGTATAATTCATATAAATGTGATTGTAATAACACAAACATACAATACTATGATAATCGTATCTTAACGTAAGCTTGAGTTAAATAAGACATTATAAAAGCATTAATTAGTTATTTAAAATTTATTAATATATAGGTGTGTGTCTCTACCAAAATGTTTGATTACCAGTTGTAGTGATCCATTAACACAACAGTGTGTAGAAACTAGAGACGGACCCAAATGTAAGTGTATATTCAATGAAAGGGTACAATATTATGATGAAAATGATGGAATTGGAGAACTAAAATGTGTGGCATTTGATTATTGTAATTCTAAACATCAGCTATTATTGCCCACAATATATCGTAATCCCGATCCGTGTGGGACAGCAAAAGATAACACTAAATGTCTATCATTTAATATGTTATATAAAAATAACAAATGGATTACTGATTACACCTGTGTCTGTAAACCGGGATACGAAACAATTAATGATGGTAAGTTAATTAAATTTTGATTATGTGCTTGTTTATTTTATTAACATTATATACTTTTTAGGAAATAAAGTTAAGTGTATATCACATTTGTGTGATTTGAGTGCAGCCAACAATTGTGCCCAAAAGTGTAGCAATGATGATAACAATTTCGATGGATATACATGTGATTGTGACTCAAAGTATACTAAAATTGATGATTACAATTGTCAAATGAAAAGTGGTTTATCGTGTGATTGTAGTCCACCCGCTTGGTGTGGATCTGATGGTAAGTGTCAGTGCAAACATGGATTCAAAGTTGACGATTCTGGTAAAAAATGTATACAATCGTGTATGTATTATAAATATATTTTTTAATTTATGTAATTATTATATATTGCCTTTACTAAATATAAAAATATTTTTTAGTATAAACAATTAACATAATTTTACAATTAAAGTATTTATTTAAATATTATAACAATATTTTTTAAAAATTTTATATACTGTATATATAAACTAGAAACTATTTTTTAGTTTAATATTTTATTTGATTGTTTAATAATTAATTAGGTTATATTTATATTTTATTTATATAGCAATACTAGTTGATAAATCTGTTTGTATAAATGGAAAAACTAAATTAAGAAACAATGAATTAGTATGCGATTGTCCACATAATTATACTTTATTAGGAAACGGTATGTGTAAACCCATTGATGTTTGTGCCGATGGACAGATAGGGCAACAAATTTGTGTCACCAAAAATGCTTCCTGTATTTTGAATGCCAAACAACCGGATCAATATGAATGCCATTGTTTATCCGGAAAATACAGAAATATCAAAGAAAATCAATACGAAAGCAACCGAACCGTATGTATTGACAATTGTCGGTACGAAAGACGTAACGATATCTGCGATTCAATTGATGCGGTTTGCGATCCGACAGTCCAACCGAAATCTGGCGAACAAATGACCGATTTTTGTCTCTGCAAACCGGGATACAAGTGGACAACTAATAGTAATTTTATGAGATGTGAAACGGTTGATAAAATTATCAAATTTACTGTTAATATAAAAAGTTTGAATACATTTTTGAGTCAATCGTATGTATCACCGATTGATGTACATTCAGATGCATATTCCGATGCTTACGATTATATCGATGTATTGAAAACAGAAATCATTAGAAATACATTAATTGAAAGATCAAAATCAGGCTTTTATTACAAAGAGTTAGTTAAATCAGATATATTGGCGTTCATGCGATTGGCCATCAATTCGACATCATTTAGACCCGACAACTACCGTGAAAATCCTGTTAATGTGGCCATCGATTCCTGTAATTACAACCAAACTACTGAATACTATAAATGTGTATTTGTATTATCACTGGACAAGTCTGTTGTGGACAACAAACCATTACAACTGATTGAAGAAATAAAAAAGTTGTGTTACACCGATGTAAACAATAAACTATGTTTTTTCCCGATTCGTATGCAACCATTGCCACCGCCATCACCACGGCCTATGCGGTCAATATCTGTACCAATTGTAGACAAATGGGTTAACTATGATATCGATGACGACATACAAAATTATTTTACTAAACAAGACATGACTTATATTATTGAATTGGACAGTATGTCTATTCTCTAAGATATTTCTATCTAACTATTATTATTCCTGAAATATAAATTAAATTAAATTAAATTTAATAATAATAATTATTAACAATTACAAAATTTTATTAATGATTATATCACATAATTAATAGATGTTTTTTAAAAATTAACTTTAAAAATGCAATAAACTAAAATCTTTTAAATCAGTAATGTAATTTTTTTTAAATAATAATTTTAATTAAGCAGTATGTCGATTCTCCAAGATATTACTATCTAACTGTAATATTGAAATAAAAACTATATAATATTTGATATTAAAAATTATTTGTTATAACAAATTACTTTAAAAATTTTATTTATGATTATATCAAATAATTAATATATATTGTTTTCAAAAATTACTTTTAAAATATAAGAATGAAAAATCATTTAACTTCATTAAAAAAATTTATCTATTAAATACAAAATATTTGTTGTTATAAATCGTCATTAATTAACTTATTATTGTACATACTATAATTAAAAAATGTTAAAAACATTATTTATAATATCATAATTTAATTCAAGCAATTTTATAACTATTTTAACTACTAATTTCATTGATTAATATTTTATTTAAGCATTTTACAACATTAAATAAGTTTACATTTTTAAAATTACAAACTAAATTTTATTGTTATAATACTCTAAATTATATGATTTAAACTTTCAAATATTACTATTCCATTACTTTAATTTTGATTAAATATTACAATCAATTTTTAATTTTTTAAAAATTTTTCAATTAAATTTTTAATGTATAGTATTTGATAATCTATTCTATTAATACTATATAATTTGTAAATGTTTGTGTATATTTCCTCAATTACTTTTAGTGTGTCGCGAGATTATTAATAATTACTAATTTATTAAATAATATATATATTATTAAAACAGTAATCTAACTAGTATTAATAAAATTAGGTAGTTAGCTTTAAGTTAAATTATTGAATGTTTTAAAAAACACTAATTTTAAATATATTTAATTATTCATTATATTTATAAATAAGCATTTTAAAATTATTAAATTGCAATGAAATTTTTATATGATTAGTTTGACAATTTTAATTAAATGAAATAAAATAATCTATTGATATAATGTGAAATAGTATTTTTTAATTAATTAATCATAATAAAAATGAAATTATTTATTTAGAATAACATTATACTGTAGATAAATGTAAAATATGCAATAATTATCAATTTATCAAGGAACTAATTAACTTTATGTTTACTTAATATTTAACTGTAGTATACATAATTTTTTCGTAATTAAATTAAAGATATATTTATTTATATAATATTGAAAGTAAAATATATCGGAATTTTTTCTGATATTTCAAAATTATATTATAATATAAAATATTAAAATTACCTATCTAAGATATTTTAATTAAAAGTGAAATAATGTTGAATGTAATGTGAAATATCTGATTGAACATTGCTCTTATACAATACTAGTAAATTTACTAAAAAACTTTAAAATTATAATTGCAATTATGATTAAATATGCAATTGTAGTCCAATAAGTATTTAATGAGTCAAATATGTTAATCAATTGCTAAATTACTGATAAATATTTGTTTGCTAATAAATAATAAGTTAATGCATATTATTTTATATCCTATTTTATGTTTACTATATATATATGGTGTCTAACTGTAAGAATATTTATAGTTTATTGTAATCTTCTTATAGTAAACACAATTGAATAGAAATTGAATTATTGTAACTTTTTTTCAATTAGTTTTTTGTTTAGTATTCTGAAATATTAAAATAACAATGAGTTCACAAAATTATTTTATAAATATAATATATTTATTAGTAATAATAAATTTCGGAGTATTGGTTAACAGTAATAATTGTAATGAAATTGGTAAATATCATTTATAATTTATGATATAGTATTTTTATATTTTTAAAACTAATAAATTTAATTTATTAACATTTAAATATATTATTTAAAAAAATAAAAATGAAATATTGTATTAAAGTTGATAAAGGATGGCCACGACAAGACAATTATGATAAATATATACGTCATAGGAGTTGGCCATTCTACTACACTAAACAAAATTTACCAAGTCAATTTCAATGGAATATAGGAAATAATATTATCGATGAATTCAAAAATAAAACTGATACAGTGTTCAGATTAAGTTTCAAGGTAATATTAAATTATTTAAGTTAAATGTTACTATATTACATTTATACAAATATTAACAAAGTACATATCATATAACATTTTATACAAATTTTATAAGTATTGGGAGTACAGTTCCGGCGACTTTTGGCCGCAGCCTAAAGTCATAGCCGATTGGTATGGAAATAGCGATGAGTTAACAAATTTACATATTATGTATCAAACAGAATATCGCAAACCCAATGATAATGGACTACAATACTGGATGCCAGTCGAGTATATTATATCATACAAACAACTGACAAACTTTTCAATTGCTTACAAAACAGTTTATAACAACAATCTGATGGCATTTAAAGATATCAATAGTAAATTATAAAAAATTATATATAATAAATATATTTAATAGTTATTATTAATTATAATTTTTTATTTTGTTTATTTAGTTGAATATTTAGATGAATCCGATAAATTTGAAAGCGATATTGAAGATTCAAATTATGGATATCAATATTTGAAATTTGATAATAATTATGACTTTGATACAGTAGTTATAACAAATGGGACAACAAAATTGCCATACAAAATGAATTACGATTATGTATATCAAATTAGATACTATAATACAGGCAATGAACGTGATATGGAAATTATATTTGAATATAGATTAGCTAATGATTCTGAAAATATTAGAAATAAATTTTATTCGTTTAGATTAGAAAATAAAATTACTGATAAAATTAATATAAACTTGAATGAATTTCTGGCATTTACCGGAACAAATTTCTATATTTATGCCAAAATTAAATATTTCAAAGATAGCCGATCACCACCTGATCCATCAATTGTGAACATATCTAAACCAATTTACAAACAAACAAATTTAAAAAATTATCCAAATTATTTATTACCGATGAAATATGGTATTAATTGGAACAATTGGAAAGAAGGTGATCGAAAAATTTGGAAAGAAATACCACAAGAAAAATATTTTGTAATTGATTACGAAAATAATATTGTAAAATTTCAAGGTTTGTTTTATGATTATTAAAAATTTAAAAAAAAACTACTAATAAATATTTCTATAAATAGGGTTAATTAATAATGAACAAATAACAACGTCATCATTGGTTAGTCAATGGATAAACTGGAATAAAACACTGTTATCAGTGCCACTAAAGTATGAGATAAGTGTTGATAATAGTGAAGATTTCGACGGTTTTCGTGTTCGGCCGCAACTATGCGATTGGCTGTTCCGGTGTCGCGACGGAACAATAGTCAGTACTGATAATGACGACAAAAAGAGAATCTTTTCGGTAACATTTGCACCGATAGACGACATAACAAGATATGTAAAACTGCACTTTCAAGTCGACTATTTTAGGCCGTCTTATGCCGTCAGAACTGAAACTCATATTGAAAATTCAACAAAAAATTATATATCAAAATTCAATCTAAAACTAATACATTTTGGTGATCCATGTTTTGGTGAACTGCAAAACATCAAATGTAAAGGTAATTATGATAAATGCATAACAAGTGAATATCCAGATAATAATAGACCAAACGATCCGCAATGTGAGTGCAAACCGGAATATATTCAGGATATTATGTGTAATAAAATTAATTATTGTTATCATATATATGATAAAATAAAGGTTAGTTTTTAATGTTTAAAATAATTTTAAAAATAATCTATTCCAATAAATTATACCTAGACTATAAATATGAGTGGACGTAAATATTGTCAAAAACAATTAAATATAAAAGGTTGTCATTCAGTTATTGATGATTTTAAATGTTATTGCGGTACTAATGATGTCGACAAAATCAATTGGAATTCAGAAAAGTAATGTTTTAATTAAAAAATATATATTTTACAAATTTACTATTGTTTTATACATCTCAGGCATATATGTGAACAAATATCATTTACTGGTAATTGGGATAAAACTACTGATCCAAACAAATATATTGCACCCGCAAATCAAACAAATAAACTTACATTTAATTTGACACCAGTTTTGTGGGAAACATCAGATATTTGCATTTACATTACATATACGATACCAATTAAATTTGGATTAAAATTAGATATTCTATACGAGGAAAACAATTTATTAATACCAAGTTTATTTTTACCAAAAACAATAAGTTCACAAAAGTTTCAATTGTGTTTAAACGATTACATACCTAATTTACCCGAAAAATTTAGCTTAAGTTTTGTTGCACCAAATAATTTAGATAAAAATGATTTAACACTTGATATTAGTGCTAATTTGCAAAATAAAAGTTTGATTTCTAATACATTTATAACAAATTGGAACGCAATGTTAAAATCGGAAAAAGACTCACAAATGTGGACACAATTACCAAAATCTGATTTCGGATTATTTGATAATATGGATGAATTAGTTAGAACTAAAATGACATATCATTTTACTGGTAATTAATTATTTAATTAAATGTATGTCAGTTTAAATTATTTTAATAATTTTAATTACAGTGTCTAAAGATCAACAAAAAACTTCACATCAACTAATATCTCCGTGGATTATATATGACGACAATTTTAAGCTTAAACCTACATATAGTTTTACAATAGAATTTGATGATAATAATGATAAAATAGGACAATCTATTAATGTTTATTTGTTATATCAAAGTGGAAACAAAACAATATTAGATCATCAGTGGACTGATTCGGGTAAAGGTAGAGATACACAAAAACTATATAAACCTGAGTTTACTTTAAATAATATTAAAGGAAGTGCTTTCAAATTGATAATTCAATTTGAATTTAATGATAATTTTGATTTTACAAAAAAATCTAGTTATCCGATAACAATCAGTGATATAAATATTGGTGACTATTGTTATAAAGATGATAAAACTACGAATTGCATCGGTGGCCAATGTATTCGTGATAAACCAAATTCATTTATATGTCAATGTTTATCGAAAATTAAAGGAAAGTTTTGCGATGAAATTGATGAATGTCTAGCAAAAAGTAAAATTGATGTAAGATTTTATTTAGATTTAAAATTGTAATTATTTTTAAATGACATTTTTTACAATAATCATTTTTTCTAGGGTCTAACAAATAATGATTATTGTAATTTATTTGCAAATGCCAAATGTCAGCATTTGTCAATTAAATCATTTGAGTGTTTATGTCCGCAACCATACTATCAATGGAATCAAAATCAATTAATGTTTGTTTTGTTTAATTTTGATAAATATTAATCTTAAATTAAATTTATAGAAAATTAATTATATTTTTTATATACAAAACAATTATTAGATGCGAACAAAAAACATTTGCAAAAAGAAAATCTAAAACATGTGATACCGGAGATTGTCTTATCTTTGATAATATTATTAGAGATACTATATTTACTAATGGATCGATTTTTTATTAATTAATTATTATTATGAAAACTTTGTTATTCAATTTTAATTATTTGTTTTTTGAAAAATAAACCTAAATATTATACAATAATTAATTTTTTTAAAAATAGCCATTAAATTAATTTTTATATATATAAAATCAAGCAAAAATTATAATAGTTTTTATAATTATAATAATAATCAAGTATAATTTAACTTTTAAATTTAATAAAAAATATATTAATCAGATGACTATTTGTTTTAAAATATTTTATAATAATATACAATGATTGCAAATTGTGTTCATATATTGTATTTTAATATCAGTAATTGATGTTTACAATATTAAATTGTCTAAATTACAACTTATATACTAATAAATTGTTATTTAAAATAAATATAAATATTTTAATATAATATAATTTCAAAATTATAAAGAAATAAATATTAAATAATTTAATACATTTTTTCTTGTTGTTATCATTTTTATAAATGATATCATTAACAGTAATATAATCAAAGATTGTGTAATTACTAAATACATATATTATAAATATTATAATATCATAAAAATAATATAAACATTAGAAAAATTAGTTAAATTTTTAAATATATAAAATAATATATAAATGAATATAGATGATTAATAGATTTATTATCTGAATCAAAGATAAAGTTTCAAACATTTAAAAACACTAGAAGTAAAACAAATGAAATTTATATCTAATAATTATTATTGTTAATATAAATAGTTGAAATTGTTTTCAATTAAAAATTAAATTAATATATTTAAATATCATTTATTAAAACTAATATCTTTGTAGTTTTAATATAAATGAAAAATTATTTTGTAATGACATTATTGAAATAAATAAATAAAGTACTTAACTTTCGAGATACTGTATTAACAAACATAACATTATTATATATATTGTAGTTTAAAATATTTTTATCTAAATTAGATAATATTAAAAACAGAAATAATTGTTTCATTAATCTTGTGTTGCAATAAGCATTCAATGAGCAAATTATATTTATCAATAAGTACAGTAGTAATAATATGATTTATTAAGTTAAATAATAAATATTGCTATTGATATTTTAGATCTTATTGTTATGTTTACTATATATTTGGTGTCTAAAAGAAAAAAAATTTATATTATACTATACAAATTAAATTATTAAGTTTTATGTTGTCTTCACAATTCATAATAATAAACTTTTTTATTTAAAACTTACAATTGAAGACAGTTTTCGGTGACAATCTGTCACACTTTGCGGAACACTCGAGTGTTTTCGGTCTCAATCTGAGACCATTATCAACGCCGAGTCAGACATCACTACTGTATTGACAGTAACAGTGATATCTATTTTTTGGTCACTTGAGTATCTCATGGGTGAGAGAGAGGCCTCATATAGTTATCATATATCTTATATTATTATATAATTTGTGTAAAACAATATTCAAAATAAAAAATATAGCAATAATTAAAATAAACAATTTAAAAAAAAAAATATTTATTACAATTTGAAACTAGATTTTGATTTAGTAAAAATAAATATATAAAAATTTTTAATTATATAAAATAAACATAATTTAGCTGCCATAGAATGTAGTGTAGTTATGTAGTTATGATAATGATAATGTAGTTATGATTATTTAAAAAGTAGAATAGTTATTATTCGTATGAATATTAATAAAATAGAAAAGAAAATTAATTATATTTATTATGATTTAAAATCGTTTTTACCTCAAAATCTAATAGAAATTCTTAATAAAAGAATTCTAAATAATTGTAATATTAAAAAATATATATTTAGAAAATACAAAAAAAATAAATTTGATAAATTAATAAATAATAATAGTTATATAGTGGATTCAAATAAATCCACATTAAAAAATAGTTGGGTAGTTAATCTATCATCCAGATCATTTAATGATTATGAAATGTCAATATTGCAATTAGATTCAAAATTTCAAATAACGCCTAAAAAAATACAAACTGAAACTTTTATTGCTTATATTGAAAATAAATTAAGTGATATTATTAGTGATAATTTAGAATTAAGTAATATAAGACATAAAATTGTAAATTTTGTAAAAAATCATAAATTACCTAGCTCAAATTTATGTCCCAAACAATATCAAGCATTAAAAACTTAAAAAATGATACAAATATTATAATTACTAATTCTGATAAAGGAAACAAAAATAATTACATAAATAAAGTTGAATCTATTTTGAATGATAAACATATTTATAAATTAATAAATAAAGACAATACTATATGTATTGCTAATAAATTAATAAATATTTTGAAATATTTTCACAAAAATAATTATATAAGTTATTCTCAATATTTGAAATTATATCCTGATATCTATAATATACCTGAAATTTATGCGCTAATAAAAATTCATAAAATTAATAATCCTTGTAGATTGATATGTCCTTATTATACTTATCCATTATCTAAAATATCAAAATTTTTAAGTAATTTTTTAACACCTATATTAAGCAATAGTATATATTCTATAAAAAATTCTAAAGAGTTTTGTGATGCTTTACACAAAACTAAAATAAGTGATAATGATATAATGATTTCTCTAGATGTAATTAATTTATTTACTAATATACCATTAGATTTAACAATTGATATTATAAAAGTCAAATTAGAAAATTACAATAATCTAAATAATTTAACAAATATTCCAATTAAAAATATTATAGATATTATAAAATTTTGTATGAATAATAATTCATTTAAATTTAATAATAAATTTTATCTTCAAATATCTGGAGCACCGATGGGCTGTAATCTCAGTCCTATATTAGCTGAAGTTTTAATTAGAGACATTTTTGAAAATATTGTTAATAACTATAATATTAAACCTGTCTTTTTAAAATTTTATGTAGATGACTCGTTTATTATTTTAAATAAATATTTATTTGATGAATTTATAATAAATATTAATAATTATTGTCAAAAATATAATACTATAAAATTTACAATTGAAAAAGAAAATGATCAAGGAATTATATCTTTTTTAGATGTTTTAATTAAAAGAGAAAATAACAAATTTTTAACTAGTGTATTTAGAAAACCGACCCAATCTCATAGATATCTAAATTTTATCTCACATCACTCATTAGAAAATAAAAAAGCCGTAATACATACTCAAATTAGTAGAGCATTTTCAATATGTAGCAATAATTGTTTATTAGAAAATGAATTAAAATTTATAACTGATATTTTAAAAGAAAATAATTATCCAATTCAATTAATTAAATCTATTATTAATTATTATAGTGATATATACAATAACCAAATAAACAAAAATAATAATGAAATTGATTTATCTAAAACAATTGTTATTCCTTATTATAAAGGATTAAGTCAGCAAGTAAAACAATTGCTTAAATTACATAATATTAATGTTGTGTATAAATCTAATAAAAATATTAAAAATATGCTTTATAAAAATAAACATAATTTAGCTGCCATAGAACCAGCTCAATGTGAGCTGATTCTATGGCTATAAAATATTAATTTAATTTTAATTATTTAAATAATGATAAATATTCACTAGGTAAATTTGTTGAAGCATTCAATCTATCATTCATTAGTGGTATTTTATTTATTTTATGATGTTCAATATTGCATTTTTCTAAAAATAACCTGGCTTTATAGTTATTTTCATTATAAATTATAGTGGGATGATTAAAATCTACATTATGATTAAAATTAATTGCATGATCAGCAACATTTGATTTAGCATTATAATTATTTAAAGCATATTTATGTTGTTTTATTCTATCAATTAATTTTTGTTTTGTTGTACCAACATAAATAAAATTACAATCACTACAATGTAAATTATAAACAACATTATGATTGTTGAAAAAATTTTTTGGTTCACGAAATTTAAGCATATTTTTAATATTTTTATTAGATTTATACACAACATTAATATTATGTAATTTAAGCAATTGTTTTACTTGCTGACTTAATCCTTTATAATAAGGAATAACAATTGTTTTAGATAAATCAATTTCATTATTATTTTTGTTTATTTGGTTATTGTATATATCACTATAATAATTAATAATAGATTTAATTAATTGAATTGGATAATTATTTTCTTTTAAAATATCAGTTATAAATTTTAATTCATTTTCTAATAAACAATTATTGCTACATATTGAAAATGCTCTACTAATTTGAGTATGTATTACGGCTTTTTTATTTTCTAATGAGTGATGTGAGATAAAATTTAGATATCTATGAGATTGGGTCGGTTTTCTAAATACACTAGTTAAAAATTTGTTATTTTCTCTTTTAATTAAAACATCTAAAAAAGATATAATTCCTTGATCATTTTCTTTTTCAATTGTAAATTTTATAGTATTATATTTTTGACAATAATTATTAATATTTATTATAAATTCATCAAATAAATATTTATTTAAAATAATAAACGAGTCATCTACATAAAATTTTAAAAAGACAGGTTTAATATTATAGTTATTAACAATATTTTCAAAAATGTCTCTAATTAAAACTTCAGCTAATATAGGACTGAGATTACAGCCCATCGGTGCTCCAGATATTTGAAGATAAAATTTATTATTAAATTTAAATGAATTATTATTCATACAAAATTTTATAATATCTATAATATTTTTAATTGGAATATTTGTTAAATTATTTAGATTATTGTAATTTTCTAATTTGACTTTTATAATATCAATTGTTAAATCTAATGGTATATTAGTAAATAAATTAATTACATCTAGAGAAATCATTATATCATTATCACTTATTTTAGTTTTGTGTAAAGCATCACAAAACTCTTTAGAATTTTTTATAGAATATATACTATTGCTTAATATAGGTGTTAAAAAATTACTTAAAAATTTTGATATTTTAGATAATGGATAAGTATAATAAGGACATATCAATCTACAAGGATTATTAATTTTATGAATTTTTATTAGCGCATAAATTTCAGGTATATTATAGATATCAGGATATAATTTCAAATATTGAGAATAACTTATATAATTATTTTTGTGAAAATATTTCAAAATATTTATTAATTTATTAGCAATACATATAGTATTGTCTTTATTTATTAATTTATAAATATGTTTATCATTCAAAATAGATTCAACTTTATTTATGTAATTATTTTTGTTTCCTTTATCAGAATTAGTAATTATAATATTTGTATCATTTTTTAAGTTTTTAATGCTTGATATTGTTTGGGACATAAATTTGAGCTAGGTAATTTATGATTTTTTACAAAATTTACAATTTTATGTCTTATATTACTTAATTCTAAATTATCACTAATAATATCACTTAATTTATTTTCAATATAAGCAATAAAAGTTTCAGTTTGTATTTTTTTAGGCGTTATTTGAAATTTTGAATCTAATTGCAATATTGACATTTCATAATCATTAAATGATCTGGATGATAGATTAACTACCCAACTATTTTTTAATGTGGATTTATTTGAATCCACTATATAACTATTATTATTTATTAATTTATCAAATTTATTTTTTTGTATTTTCTAAATATATATTTTTTAATATTACAATTATTTAGAATTCTTTTATTAAGAATTTCTATTAGATTTTGAGGTAAAAACGATTTTAAATCATAATAAATATAATTAATTTTCTTTTCTATTTTATTAATATTCATACGAATAATAACTATTCTACTTTTTAAATAATCATAACTACATTATCATTATCATAACTACATAACTACACTACATTCTATGGCAGCTAAATTATGTTTATTTTATATAATTAAAAATTTTTATATATTTATTTTTACTAAATCAAAATCTAGTTTCAAATTGTAATAAATATTTTTTTTTTTAAATTGTTTATTTTAATTATTGCTATATTTTTTATTTTGAATATTGTTTTACACAAATTATATAATAATATAAGATATATGATAACTATATGAGGCCTCTCTCTCACCCATGAGATACTCAAGTGACCAAAAAATAGATATCACTGTTACTGTCAATACAGTAGTGATGTCTGACTCGGCGTTGATAATGGTCTCAGATTGAGACCGAAAACACTCGAGTGTTCCGCAAAGTGTGACAGATTGTCACCGAAAACTGTCTTCAATTGTAAGTTTTAAATAAAAAAGTTTAATACTATACAAAGTTTATAGTTAGTACAATTAAATAAAAATTTAGTTATTGATAAAATATTTATTGATTTTTGTATTTGTATAAATTAATTTATACAATTAATTTTGTAAAAGATACTGTTTTCACTTAAAAAAATGAAAATAATATTAAATTTACAAAATTATTTTTTTAATATATTAGTTTTAATAATAATATTAAGTATCTGTAAATGGGCACACAGTAATAATGATGAAGATAACGGTAAATAATTTTAAATATACCTTAAATTTATGAATATAAAAATAATTTATTTTCATTAATAAATACTTTTTATTGTAGAAAAAATAAAAATAAAAAATTGGATTGTTGTTAACAAAGGATGGCCACTTCAAGATAACTATGATCGATATATACGTCAAAAGAGTTGGCCATTTTACTTTACTAAACAAAATATACCAAATGATTTTCAATGGAATATTTCAAATAATATTATCGATGAATTTAAAAATAAAACTGATACAGTGTTCAGATTAAGTTTCAAGGTAATATTAAATTATTTAAGTTAAACGTTAATACTGTATATTAATTTTATACAAAAATTAACAAAATACATATCACATAACATTTTATACATATATTTATAAGTGTTGGGAGTACAGTTCCGGCGATTTTTGGCCGCAGCCTAAAGTCATAGCTGATTGGTACGGAAATAGCGATGAGTTAACAAATTTACATATCATGTATCAAACAGAATATCGCAAACCTAATGATAATGGACTACAATACTGGATGCCAGTCGAGTATATTATATCATACAAACAACTGACAAACTTTTCAATTGTTTTCAGAACTGTTTTTAACTACAATCTGATGGCATTTAAAGATATCAATAGTAAATTATAAAAAATTATATATAATAAATATATTTAATAGTTATTATTAATTATAATTTTTTATTTTGTTTATTTAGTTGAATATTTAGATGAATCCGATAAATTTGAAAGCGATATTGAAGATTCAAATTATGGATATCAATATTTGAAATTTGATAATAATTATGACTTTGATACAGTAGTTATAACAAATGGAACAACAAAATTGCCATACAAAATGAATTACGATTATGTATATCAAATTAAATACGATTATACAGGCAATGAAGGTGATATAGAAATTATATTTGAATATAGATTAGCCAACGATAATCAAAATATAAGAAATAAGTTTTATTCATTTAAATTAGAAAATAAAATAACAAATAAAATTAACATTAATCTGAATGAATTTCTGGCATTAAGCGGTACAATAAACCTTTATATTTATGCTAAAATTAAATACTTCAAAGATAGCCGATCACCACCTGTTTCATCAATTGTAAACATATCTAAACCAATTTACAAACAAACAAATATAAAATATTATCCAAATTATTTATTACCGATGAAAGAGGATATTAAATGGAACGATTGGAAAGAAGGTGATCGAAAAATTTGGAAAGAAATACCACAAGAAAAATATTTTACAATTGATTACGAAAATAATATTTTAAAATTTCAAGGTTAGTTTTATAGTTATTAATAATTAAAAAAAACTACTAATAAATATTTCTATAAAAAGGTTCAATAAATAATGAACAAATAATAACAACATCATTAGTTAGTCAATGGATAAACTGGAATAAAACACTGTTATCAGTGCCACTAAAGTATGAGATAAGTGTTTATTATACAGAAGATTTCGATGGTTTTCGTGTTCGGCCGAAACTATGCGATTGGCTGTTCCGGTGTCGCGACGGAACAATTGTCAGCACTGATACTGACGACAAAAAGCGAATTTTTTCGGTAACATTTGCACCGATAGACGACATAACAAGATATGTAAAACTGCACTTTCAAGTCGACTATTTTAGACCGTCTTTTGCGGTCAGAACTGATACTTATATTGAAAATCCAACAAAAACTTATACATCAAAATTCAATCTAAAACTAATACATTTTGGTGATCCATGTTTTGGTGAACTGCAAAAATCCAAATGTAAAGGTAATTATGAAGAATGCATATCAAAAGTATTTCCAGACAACTATCCAAATGATCCACAATGTCTGTGCAAAATTGATTATATTCACGATAATATGTGCGATAAAATTAATTATTGTGAACATAAATACGACAAAATTAAGGTTTGAAAAACTAGAATATTATTTTTAAATAAAAATCTATATAATCATAAATTATATAACTTTTTAAAGTCTATTAATATGAATGGACGTGAATATTGTGCAAAATTATTAGAATTAAAAGGCTGTCAACCAATTAGTAATGATTTTAAATGTTTTTGCGGTACTAAAGATGTCGATAAAATTAATTGGAATTCAGAAAAGTAAACTTTTTAAATAAATAATAATTTTTAATAAATTTTAATATATTATTTGTATTTTAGACATATATGTGAACCAATTAAAATTACAGGAAATTGGGATACTATTGATTTAAACAAATATATTTCACCCGAAAATCAAGAAAATAAACTTACATTTAATTTCAAACCAGTTTTGTCAGAACTATCAGACATTTGTTTTGATATTACTTATATAACACCAAAAAGAGTGGGAATTAAATTAGATATACTATATGATGAAAATAACTCTATATTACCAAATTTGTTTTTACCAAAAACATCAAGTTCTAATTTTAAATTATGTTTAAACGATTACTTACAAAATTTACCTGATGATTTTAATATAAGTTTTGTAGCACCAAATGATTTAGATAAAAATGATTTGTCACTTGTAATAAATGTTAAGTTGGAAACTAAGAAATTGGTTTTAAATAAATTTATAACAAATTGGAACGCAATGTTAAAATCAGAGCAATTGTCACAAATGTGGACACAATTTCCTAAATCTGATTTCGGTTTATTTGATAATATGGATGATCTAATCAGATCCAAAATGACCTATCACTTTACAGGTAAATAATATACTATCAATATTAATAATTTAAATTATATGTATAATATGTTTAACTACAGTGACTAAAGATCAGCAAAAAACTTCACATCAACTAATATCTCCATGGATTTTATATGATGATAATTTTAAGCTAAAATCTAAATACACATTTACCATATCGTTTGATGATAATAATGATAAAGTAGGACAAGCTATTAATGTTTATTTGTTATATCAAAGTGACAACAAAACAATATTAGATCATCAGTGGACTGATTCGGGTAAAGGTAGAGATACACCAAAAATATATAAACCGGAGTTTACTTTAAATAATATTAAAGGAAGTGCTTTCAAATTAATAATTCAATTTGAATTTAATGACAATTTTGAGTTTACAAAAAAATCTAGTTATCCGATAACAATCATTGATATAAATATTGGTGACAATTGTTATAGAAATGATAAAACTACAATTTGCAATAGTGGTCTTTGTATTCGTGATAAACCAAATTCATTTCAATGCAATTGTCTCAATGGTTTTGCTGGAAAACTATGTGATGAAACTGATGAATGTAATAGTCTAAGTATAATTAAAGTATGTTTCATAAATATAAGTAAAAAATATTATATTTTTATACAAATAAATTTAACAAACTTTTTTTAGGGCTTAACAAATAGAGATTATTGTACATTGTTTGCAAATGCACCATGTTTACATATATCATCTGATAAATTTAAATGTTTATGCCCTGAACCATACTATCAATGGAATCAAAATCAATTAATGTTTGTATAATTAAAAAAAACTAAGATATAAACACTTATTATTATTTATTAATAGATGCGTACAAAAAACATTTGTAAAAACAAGTTCAAAAACATGTAATAACGGAGATTGTGGTATATTTGACAATATTAATACAGTTATGAGATCTACTAATGAATTGATGCCAACAATAAATCGTGAGAATTATAATACATTATTTCCATTTTATTTGGGATTTCAAAATAATGGCACAATTGAGATACCGGTTCCAAAACAAAAATCTTCTGACCCTAAGCTCAATGTCGATACGTGTTTGAAACTGCAATACAAGTTATCAACAACTAAATCAAAATTAATGATAGCATATAATGATAATAAACCCATAGAACTCAACACAATTGATGACAATTTAATTAATTGGCAAAATGAAATAGTGTGCGCACATCATATTAGCAAAAATTTTGATGAAATATCAGAGATACAAAAATTTACATTAAATCCATCAATTTATACAAAAGACATTGATATGGTTGCCGTCAAAATTGATGAAAAATTTGCTGATCGATCAGTTGGTGTTATGTATGAAAAAATTAGTGCCATACCATTTTTGACTGAATTTAGCGATAATGATAAATATAAGGATATAAATTTTACTGCAAGTCATCAATGGGTTACACAATTTCCCTATAAAATACATAAACCATACTGGTCATTTATACAAGATAGAATTTCAATTATTTCATTTTCACGTATGTTTATCAAATACTCTCTATGTTATTGTAATAATTAATTGTTAAGTAATTTTTTATTTTTAATTAATTTTAGCTCAAATACCAACAATAAAAGAAAATTATGTGTCAACATTATATAGTAATTGGATTGATCATGGTCAACAACCAAAACAATTTACATTATATTTTGTTATTAAACATGAATATAAAGACTTTGCAATTGAATTTTTATTATTTGATGAACATATGAATGAAATAAGACAATCAAATAAGTTAATTATTGGTGATCCTCTAATTATGCCAAATGTATGTTCAACTTTATATATATATAAACTATAAGTAGTATATTTAATGATAAATTAAATTATTAAATCATTTATTATATATTTATATATATACTAAATTAATTGAAATTATTTATGAATATAAACTATTATAGGTTGATATATCATATAAAAAAGGCTCACAAATAGTTAAAAGTTTTGAGAAACAACAAAATATATTTAGATTAGTTTTGAGAGTCACATATAAATTGATAAAACCAAAGCCATATTTAATACAAATTGAATCAATCAATTTTGGTGATCCCTGTTATGACACTGAAAATAACCATTTATGTCACGGAAACGGTCGGTGCAAAAGTGTCTATCCTTATACACCCGAAACTAAAACGTGTAAATGTAAGGTTGGTTTTACACAACAGTCATATTGTAAAATACAAGACTTTTGTCTTTCTCAAGTAGAGGTAAGTTATTACAATATATTTTAAGTTTATTGAGGCTATGATTGATAATTATTTAAAGTTATCACAGATTAATGATCACAGAAATGGTTATATGATGTGCAAAGATAGCGGTTCCGGTAATTGTGTGTCCAATTCGTATAACTCCTATCGATGCGATTGTTTTAATAATGTATCACTTTATTGGGATTATAGACAATTCAAGTAATATTTATAATAATTAACAATAATTAATTAAACAAATATTAATTTATATCTAATACTAACTAGTTTTAAATAAAATTATTTTTTTTATTACAGATGTGTGAAAAAACCAAATTGTTTGTCTATTAGCTGTAGTGACCCAATGACCCAATTGTGTGTTGAAGATACTAGAGATGGGCCCAAATGTAAGTGTATATTCAATGAAAGGGTACAATATTATGATGAAAATGAGGGTAAAGGCGAACCAAAGTGTGTGCCATTAGATTATTGTAATCCAAAACATCAGCTATTATTGCCCACAATATATCGTAATCCAGATCCGTGTGGGACAGGAAAAGATAACACTAAATGTTTGTCACGAAAATTACAATATGATTTGATTGGTTCTAAATGGATAATTGATTATATCTGTGTCTGTAAACCGGGATACCAGACAATCATGGATGGTATGTTTAGCTAAATAAAAAATATGTGCTTGATTATTTTTATAAATACTCTCTACTGTTTTTTAGACAATCATAAGACTACATGTAAATCACATTTGTGTGATTTGAGTGCAGCCAACAAATGTGACCAAAAGTGTATGAATGATGACAACAATGCCGATGGATATACCTGTGGATGTGATTTAATGTATGATAGAATTGATAATTACAAATGTCAACTAAAATCTACTGAAAAATGTGATTGTAATCAAACCGCTTGGTGTGGATCTGATGGTAAGTGTCAGTGCAAACGTGGATTCAAAATTGATGATAATACTGGAAAAACATGTATACTATTAAGTATGTATTTTATTAAATTTATTTTATTGTTATTATTGTTAATTAATAAATTTATCTAATTTGTAAATATTTTTATAATTGATGAAAAAAATGATAATTATACAGTATAATCTGTATTATATACTAAATATATGTACATATAAATAATAATAATAATTTATTAATTATATTTATTACTGTTTATGCTTTTTCTACTTTTTATAAATTAGTATATATTATATAGATTTATATCATATTAATATTATTTATATAATTTAAAACAAAAGCATTAAATATATATATATACTTATATTTTAAAGTATTATAATATTTTATTTAAAATTTTAACAATTAATTAGAAAGTTAAAATGTTTTTTTATATATAGCAATGCCTGTCGATAAATCTGTTTGTTTGAATGGAAAAACTAAACTAATGAACAATGAAATAGTATGCGACTGTCCGTCAAAAGGTTATACTGTGGTTAACGGTATGTGTAAACCGATTGATGTGTGCGCCGATGGCCAGGAAGGACAACAAGTTTGTGCCGCCAAAAATGCTACCTGTATTTTGAATGCACGACAACCGGATCAGTATGAATGTCAGTGTTTACCCGGAATGTACACTAAATTTTCTATCTATGAAAAAGACCGAACAGTTTGTGTAGATTATTGTCTGTATGAGAAGCGCAACGATATATGCAAAACAATTGATGCGATTTGCGATCCAACAGTCAAACCAAAATTAAATGAACAAATTATAGATTTTTGTGTTTGTAAACCGGGAAACAAGTGGGCATACGATAGCAATTTTATGCATTGCGAACCGGTAGACAAAACAGTTAACTTTACTGTCAATATTAGAGATGTGAATGTATTTTTGAATCAATCATATCCGTCACCGATAGATGGATATTCAGATGTTTACGACTATATCGATATATTGAACAAAGAAATGATTAGAAATACCGAAATCGAGAGATCAAAGTCTGGCTTTTATTACAAAGAGTTAGTTAAGTCCGATATATTGTCTTTCATGCGATTGGCCATCAATTCAACATCATTTAGACCCGACAACTACCGGCAAAATCCAGTTGATGTGACCATATATTCCTGTTACTACAACCGCTCTACTGATTACTACAAATGTGTATTTGTCTTATCACTGGATCGGTCTGTTATGGACAACAAGCCGTCACAATTGGTCGAAGAGATTAAGAAGTTGTGTTTTGTCGATCAAACTAATAAACTATGTTTTTTCCCGACCCTAATGGGACCACCATTGCCGCCGCCATCGCCAATAACTGTACCAAAAATAGATAATTCTGTCAACTTAGCCATAGATGATGACATAAAATCTAATTTTACTAAACAAGATATAACATATATTATTGAATTGGACAGTATGTCTACTCCCTAATACTGTATATGACTAATAATAAACTGCTAAAATAAAATATGTAACTTTATTAAAAATAAAAATTCAATTATTATTATAATTTGATTTGTTTTTGAAACTAATTTGTAATAAAAAAACTTTGAACTTTATAATTAATAAAATATTTTTAAAAATTTCTTTTAATTAATTATTTATTAATATAATTATGTGATATATTTAACATAATTTTGTATCAGATTCAGTTAGTACTTAATTACTGTGTCTGATCAGTGATCACTTTGACTGTTATATCACAAGTTGTTTGACCACCCTTTTAGGTAAATTAGAGTAGGTGTGTGCCGACCCCGGTATCATTTACTCATTTAAAGCCCTTGTATTTTATGTGTTTATTTCAACAATTTTTATATTAGTTCTAATAATTATTTTGTAATCATAGTAATCATTCGTTAAGTTTAAAACATAACTTACGTTAAAATATGTTTAAATTTATAAATTATTTTTTATGATAATTTAATCTGGTCAAATTTTCTATTTAATATTTGTAAAAACGCAATAAAAAGACATTGAAATACTAAATAATTTATTAGTATACATAATTTAAACAATAACAACAAAAGTTAAATATCACTAAAATTATTTGAGATAAGATTTTTTACTTAAATATCAATAATAAAATATATTAATTGGGTTAATTGTAACATTGTTTTGAGTTATTGAATTAATGAGCTAATAATATAAGTAGTTAAGTGGGTAAATAATTGAGACAATTATAAGCCATCTAACGATAAACTTAACAATCTATTACTATTTATATAATACTATAGTATATATAATATACAAATTAAATTTAATTTTAACCTCATTGTTATAATCTAATAATATCTATATTAATTAAATAAAAACTGTAAGTAGCGGTCAGTATGATATTTTTTAAACAAATGTTTTTAAATAGTTAATAGAAAGTTAACTTAGAACTAGAATATAGTTAATACTAATAATGTTTAAAAATCTAAATTCAAGCATTTTTTAAAATAGCAAAATATTTTTATTTCTATAATAAAATAAAATAAAAGTTATAGATTATTAATTTTATAAATAATAGATTAGAAAAAAATAATAAATAATATACAGTATTTAGATTTTCTGCTATTATTGTTATTTTAGTTATAAAACTGTATTATTGATACTTTACTTTAATTATTTACTTTACAAAATGAAGTATTTCTTTTGAATAACACATTTACTCGTTATATAAATTATAATTCATTTCAACGAGATTTCTATATTTAGTAGTAATACAATATAAGTCGTTATTTAGATAAGACGCCCATTTATAGGGAGGGGAGGGGTTATGAAAATAATAAATAAATAAATAAAACTTATATAAATGGGGGTAAAATGTTTATAGACATCCGTTTACATCAATAATACATTTCTATAAACTTTTGTTAAAGAATTTATTTTTGCAATTTTTAAATAAAACATTTATACATATTTATATTTAATATTCATTAGATTATATAATATTACAATAATTTATTTATTTAATTTTTTAATTATAATAATAATATTTGTAATAAAATGTAATTTTTTAAACTTATTTTGTGGAATTGGATATATGGACATTTTAATTAACTTGTTACATAAATTTAATTAATTGTAAACTTGATATGGGAGTGGTTAAGGGTGCAAACAATTAGTTAAATAATATGGATGTTTTATCTCAGCCATTTTTATAATAATTACTTAATAAATATTATCTCACATTTTTTAATCTATAATTATAGTGTCTATACATTTTATAAAATTAAAATGCTCACATAAACAAGTACAATTTAAGTAACTATGAGTTTATTTTACCCATTTTTATATTAGTATATTTGGAGTTTATAATTTTATTAAAATTTGTTATAATTTATATGTTAGACATTTATTAAAATGTTATAATGATAACACTTATTGACGATAACTGTTATATTCTCTCTAATACAATATAATGGATTAATACATATATCATTACATACTTGTATTACATAAAGTTATTTTACTTTTTATAATTGAAAGACTACTTATAATTATGTTATATGTTTTTTCTCTAGTAATTAGTTATTATTGATAACAACTATTTTTTATTTATTTCAAGGCATCTTTGTTTTAGTTTAAAATTTAAATAATGTATCAAAAATTATATATTTAATTCACCAAATATTCAAATTACATATACATTAAAGTAAATCAAACATTATAATATAGATATTATTTTTTATAATATTATTTAGTATAATTTTTAAAAACTAAAATTATATAAATATTTTTATATCTCTATTAAAACAACAATCACTACAAGATAATACATTATAATTAATTTTCAATTATATTATTTAATAGATTGAAATATCATTTTATAACAAAATTAACAATATTTAACCCAGTAGTCAGTTATGTTACAGTATAAACTAACTAAAAATATTATATATTATTATTATTGTTTAAATTATATTATTGCAAGTTTTATATGAAATAAAGTATTTACTTAATAATTAACAAAATAATCTTATTTTACAAAATGTCCTAAACATTAGAAATTTCATTATATGTTTGAAACAACAGCTTTAATTTTATTATTTAAAATAATTATATTAAAAAATATTTCACATACAAAGTGATATTTATTACAAAATATTTTATTTGTTTAAAAGACTTGAATTTTTTTGTTGAATTGCTATTAATTATTATTTCAAATGCTATTTTAGATAACATATTATAAGTACTTGACTTTTAAGATAACAAAAACTTTTTGGATTAAATGTCTAAATAAAATATATTATTAGTATATTGAAAAAGTAACCATTATATTTTTAAATAATGCTATTTCAAAAAATATTAATTATTTTAATTAAATATAATATAAAAAATTAATAGTGAAATTATTATAAAAATAACATAATAATTAAATAGAAACATTAAATATAATACTGTTACTAAAATATTATTTAATCATTTAATTAAATAAAATAATAAATATTATTTAATATAATTATATGACATTAGTGTACAAATATTAGTATTACATTTATTAAATAAACACATTAATAAATTGTTAGTTTTGTTAAATATAAATAATATAATTATATATTTACTTTTATTTTAATACATTTATATCTATTATTTATTTACTGAATATAATTTATTGTATTATCAAATGTTTGATTAATTAAATGTTTTTTATTTTAATTATATAAAACATATTTCTATATTTCATATTAATTTATATATTTTTAATCAATTACATTAATATTTTTCTTTTCTATTATCACTAAATATATATTTTATATTTTATATTTTATAATATTATCTATTAAACTTTATAACTTATTAATGATATCTTTATAAACAATTAATTAATTAAAATTAATTAGAAAAGTTCAAAAGTTTAAAAAATATTATTCATTAGTATCCTATGTATAATTAATTGTGAAAAATTAAAACATATTGATTACTAATAAAAAAATATTAATTCCGGGACATTTTTATCATAAAATTTTAATAATCAACTAAACATTATTGTTGTATTAAGTCATATAAAATTATTTCAAAAATTTTTTGTTTAAGAAATACATATATCTCTAGATTGTTGTATGAAATATATCGTAAAATATTTTTTGACTGTAATTTATTACCGGTTCAAACATAGATTTATATTGTATTTTATATATGTATTTATTATTTAATAAATTGAAATAATGGCAAACAAACAGAGAAAAAATGCAATAACTTATAGATAACTATTGATCTTTTGAAAAAAAACTAAAGCTCTCGACTATCATATGAAGTCATTGGTAACTAATCATTGATAGAGAAAATAACACTTGAATTACATTTTTTTGTATTAATGATTTATACATAAAGTGAATAAAAAAAATATGAGTCACATATAAATAACTTATTGATTGAAACTGGTTATACATATTATGTGTTATCTATAAAAATTAAAACTTAAAGATTAAACCATATATTAATATCTAAAAAAATTATTGTTTATTGAAAGTAATTGTTATATATATTAATACTATATATATAAGCAATTTATCCAACTATAACCAAGCTATCTGTAAATTTTGTTTGCAGTTAAAAAAACATTTAACTTTACAATTAAGCATGTTGATATTTATAATAAAATCAAACAATATATTAAATATTTTATAAGTATAATAGAAAGTATTTTCTAAAATATTTTCATTATCTATTTACTAAAATAATTATTATAAAACTGAACTTGGCACTTAATTTAAGCACAGGTGCCTATAAATGTATTACAAAGTATAGATATATAAATTATACGTTAATAATATATAATGTGTTAAACGCCCCTTTCATTACCATTTAATATAAAGATTGTGATTAAGAGACGTTAAATACCAATGTTGTGGTCCAATCATTAAGTTTGTTGATATGAATTAATACAATAACGGAATCATCAGATTTCATATAACTTTTGTAATTTTAACTTCAAATCATTAGTAATATATACTCTCGTTGTGTAGTTTTAAAGTTAATTATTTTGTTTTAATAATAGTTATTTTATTAGTTATAAATTGTGACTTATTTTCTATATAGTGTATTTAATAGTTTGTAGTAAAAATAAATTGTTTTGTGATAATTAAAAAAATATATGTTATAATGATAATTAATTGTGTTAATATAAAAAAATAACTCATTAAACAAATTAAATATTAATTTTTTAGTTTTTGTAATAATATCATTTTGTAAAAATGAAATCGATATTAATTAGACAAAATATATGTGTTTTGTATTTATTATTAATAATCTCTTTTGTAAAGTTGGCACATAGTACTGATAATGATCCAGATCAAGGTAAATAATTATTTATTAAAATATACTTTTTGCTAACTTAAAATTTATTAACAATATAAAATTTTTATTAGAAAAAATAAAAGTCAAAAATTGGATTATTGTTGACAAAGGATGGCCACTACAAGACAATTATGATCGATATATTCGTGAAAAAAGTTGGCCATTCTACTTTACTAAACAAGATATACCAAGTGAATTTAAGTGGAATATTCATAAAAATATAATCGATGAATTCAAAAATAAAACTGATAAAGTCTTTAAATTAAGTTTCAAGGTAAAGATATAAAATTATATTATATTTCAATAAAATGTAAAAATTAAAGCTATAGAAATAATTACTATATTGTTAGTAACTCAACTTAATAAAAACATAAAACAATGATCTTAATGTTTAAAAATTTTAATAAGTATTGGGAGTATGGTTCGAGCGATTTTTGGCCGCAGCCTAAAGTCATAGCCGATTGGTACGGAAGTAGCGATGAGTTAACAAATTTACATATTATGTATCAAAATAAATATCGCAAAGACGCTGACAATGGACTACAATACTGGATGCCAGTCGAGTATATTATATCATACAATCAATTGACAAAATTTGCAATTGATTTCAGAACTGTTTATAATAATAATCTTATGGCGTTTAAAGAAATCAAATGTAAAATTATGATATAATTTATAAATTATTATTTTTATAAATACTTTATCATATAAACTAACATAAATAAATATTTTTGTCTCTATAGTAGAATATTTAGAAGAATCTGATAAATTTCAAGAAGATAATGATATAAATTATGGTTACATAGATGTAAAAATTGATAGTAAAGATTACGACACAGTATATGTATTGGATAAAACACATAAAGATACATATACTAAGGAATCAGATTATATATATAAACTTAATTATAATTATTACGGCAACGCTCGTGATTTGGAAATCATATTTGAATATAGATTAGAAAATGATCCAAAAGAAATAAGAAATAAATTTTATTCGTTTAGATTAGAAAATAAAATTCTAACTGATATTACTATAAATCTTAATGAATTTTTAGCATTTACAGGGGCTAATTTCTATATTTATGCTAAAATTAAATATTTTAAAAATGACCAACCAAAACCTGAACCATCAATTGTGACAATTACTAAGTCAACTGAAATAACTAAAAAGACAACTAAATATCCTAAATATTTATTACCGATGAAAGATGGGGTTGAATGGAATAAATTAGAGGATGGAGAGAGAAGTGTTTGGAAAGAAATACCACAAGAAAAATATTTTACAATTAATTACGTAAATAATGATGTAAAATTTAAAGGTTAGTTTTATGATTATTAAAAATTAAAAAACTACTAAAAAATATTTTTATAAATAGGTTTAATTAATAATGAACAAATAACAACGACATCATTGGTTAGTCAATGGATAAACTGGAATAAAACACTGTTATCAGTGCCACTAAAGTATGAGATAAGTGTTGATAATAGAGAAGATTTCGATGGTTTTCGTGTTCGGCCGCAACTATGCGATTGGCTGTTCAGGTGTCGCGACGGAACAATTGTCAGCACTGATACTGACGACAAAAAGCGAATCTTTTCAGTAACCTTTGCACCGATAGACGACATAACAAAATTTGTAAAACTACACTTTCAAGTCGACTACTTTAGACCGTCTTATTTTGTCAGAGATAATATTGCTGAAGCATCCTATACATCAAAGTTCAATCTAAAACTAATACATTTTGGTGACCCATGTTTTGCTGAACTACAGTCTAGTAAATGTGTCGGTCATTATGAGGAATGCCAATCAATTGACTATTCATCTAATAATTATCCAAATGATCCACAATGTCATTGCTTATCTGATTATTATCCGGAAAAAGAATGCAATAAAATTAATTATTGTGAACATCTATACAAAGACAGCAAAATAACGGTTTGCAAAAATATTATATCAAATATTTATTAATAATATATATTATTATTTTTATAGACTCTCATTAGTGGAAATAAATATTGTAATACATTGGTTACAAACAAAAAAATTAAGTGTCGACCAATTCCTAATGATTTTGAATGTTTTTGCGGTACTAATAATAAATTGCCAGATAATGATCTTATTAATTGGAATGCAATAGAGTATAATACATTAATTTGTATATTACATCAAAATAAACAATAATAAAAATTTTATTTTTATAGACATAAATGCGAACAAATTGAAATTAGTGGCAATTGGGAAAAAACTACTGATCCGAAAATATTTATTGCACCCGAAAAGCAAGCAAATAAACTTACAGTTAATTTTATACCAGTTTTATCTGATTTAGACGTTTGTCTTGAAATTACTACAACAATACCTAACAAAGTTGGAATAAACTTAGATATTCAATATGAAGAAAACAATTCTATATTACCAAGTTTATTTTTATCAAAAACAACAAGTCCACAAATGTTTCAATTATGTTTAAAAGATTACATACCTAATTTACCAGATAAATTTAGCGTAAATTTTTTAGCACCAAATAATTTAGATAAAAATGATTTAAAACTCCAAATTAAAGCTATTTTGCAAATTAAAAAAGCGCCAACACAATATATAACAAATTGGAAGGCTATGACAATACAAGAAACAAAAGATCAATTATGGACCCAATTTCCTAACAATAAATTTGGTCAATTTGATCCTGAAGATCCTATCACTTCAAGATATAAAATGAGTTATAAATTTACAGGTAATTAATATTTTATATTTATAATAATATACTTCTATAAATTTTTTTTATAAATTTACTGTAGTTAATGAAAAACTAATAAAAACTTCACATTATTTAATAACTCCGTGGATTAATTATAACGAGAATTTTAAAACTACACCAAAATATACATTTACTATTGATTTTGAAGATAATAATGATAAATTTGGACAAGCTATTAATATTTATTTACTATATCAAAATGGTAATAAAATTACTAGAGAAGTTTTATGGCAAGACACTACACATGGAACTGATATAATAGGCAAATATAAACCGGAATTTAGTTTGAATAATATCAAAGAAAATGACTTTAAGATTATCATTGAATTTCAATTTAATAATCAATATGATTTTAAGAAAAAAGCTCAATATCCAATAACTGTTAGTGATATTAATATTGGCGATAGTTGTTTTGACGATATTGGGCAACCAGTTTGTGATAATAATGCATGTAATCGTGTTAAACCTAATAAATTTCAATGTGTTTGCCCACAAGGCTTGAAAGGAATACATTGTGAGGAAACTGATAAATGTACATTGAAAAGTAAAATTGATGTAAGTTTTAATAAAAATTAATAAATATTTTTTAAAAAATAATTGCATTATTTTAACATTAATTTTTTAGGGTTTAACGAATAATGAGTATTGTACTTTTTTTGCCAATGCTGATTGTCAACATTTGTCAGATGATAAATTTATGTGTAATTGTCCACAACCATATTATCAATGGAATCAAGATCAATTAATGTTAGTATTATTGTATTACATAAGATTTTTATAAATTAAACAAAGTAACTAATTTTATTTATATCAAAAATATTTAGTTGTGAACAAAAAACTTTTGTAAAGACAAATTCAAAAACTTGTGATAAAGGAGAGTGTGGTATATTTGATAGTATTAATACAGTTATGAGATCTACTAATGAATTAATGCCAACAATAAATAGTGCTAATTATAAAAAATTATTGCCATTTTATTTGGGATTTCAAAATGAAGGCACAATTGAGATACCGGTTCCAAAACAAAAATCTTCGGACCCTAAGATTAATATCGATACGTGTTTGAAACTGCAATACAAGTTATCAACGACTAAATCAAAACTAATGGTTGCTTATAATGACAATAAACCCATAGAATTGAATACAATTGAATATAAACCCGACGGAGAGCTAATTAATTGGCAAAATGAAATAGTGTGCGCCAATCAAATTAGTAAAAATGTGGATGAAAAGTCACCCATACAAACATTTATATTAAATCCATCAATTTATTCAAAAGATAGTGATATGGTTGCCGTCAAAATTGAACAAAAATTTGTTGATCGATCAGATGGTGTTCCGTATGAAAAATTAAGTCCAATACCATTTTTAACTGCATTTAGCGATAATGATAAAGAAAAGGATATAAATTTCACTTCAAGTCATCAATGGGTTACGCAATTTCCCTATAAAATACAAAAACCATACTGGTCATTTATTCCTGATAAGATTTCAGTTATTACATTTTCACGTATGTTTATCAATTATGTTATTGAAGTATTTAATTGTTAAACAATTTTTTATTTTTAAAAAATTATAGCTCAAATAAATACTAATAATGAAAATTATGTGTCAACATTATATAGTAATTGGATTGAACCTGGTCAATCAAGACAGTTTACATTGAATTTTGTAATTACTAGTGAATATAAAGACTTTGCAATTGAATTTTTATTATTTGATGAAACTATGAATGAAATAACGCAATTAAACAAATTAATTATTGGTGATCCTCTAATTTTGCCAAATGTAAGTTTAACTTTTTTTAAGTTAATTTTTTTAATTGTTATAAGTAACGAAATTTCTAAATAATAAAATTATTTGTATAATATATTAAATAAAATAATTTTATAATAATTAATATTATAGGTTGATATATCATATAAAAAAGACTCACAAATTGCTAAAAGTTTTGATAAACAAGAAAAAATATTTAGATTAGGATTAAGAGTTACTTATAAAATACAGTCAGCAAAACAATTAATTAAAATTGAATCAGTCAATTGTGGTGATCCCTGTTTTGACAGTGAAAACAATCATTTTTGTCACGGAAACGGTCGGTGCAAAAGTCTTAAACCTTATACACCTGAAACTAGATCTTGTGAATGTAAGGATGGTTTTACAAAACAATCACATTGTAAAATACAAGATTTTTGTCAATCAAGTGTTGAGGTATTATTAAATATATATATATATATATATATAATTTATATTTAGCTAAATTACCACTTTATATATTTTTATAAATAGCTACCAAATGCTAATACAGGCTATGAATATTGTAAAATACACTATTTAGGCAATTGTGTATCTAATACTTATAATTCATATAAATGTGATTGTAATAACACAAACACACAATACTATGATAATCGTAAATTAACGTAAGTTTCTAATAAATTTATTTATTTATTTTTAATAATAATTTATAATTTACTTAATATAGATGTGTGTCTCTACCAAAATGTTTGTCTACCAGTTGTAGCGATCCATTAACACAACAGTGTGTAGAATCAGATAAAGACGAACCCAAATGTAAGTGTATATTCAATGAAAGGGTACAATATGTCGATGAAAATGAAGGAAATGGTGATCTAAAGTGTGTGCCATTTGATTATTGTAATCAAAAACATCAGCTATTGTTGCCTAAAGAAAACCGCAATTCAGACCCGTGTGGGACAGGAATTAATAATACAATATGTCTATCATTTAAAATGACATATGAAAATTCAAAATGGGTTCCTCATTATAAATGTGCATGTAAACCTGGATTCAAGACAAACATAGAGGGTAATTAAATTAAAATAAAATAAATTTGCTAGTTTATTTTATTTACAATATATAATGTTTTAGGGAATAACAAAATTAGTTGTACATCACATCGTTGTGATATAAGTTCTTCTAACAAATGCGAACAAAAATGCAATAATGTTCATAACATTGTCGATGGATATACCTGTGAATGTGACTCTAAATATACTAAAGATGGAGAATATAATTGTTTAAAGAAATCTAGTGAAACATGTGATTGTATTAAACCCGGTTGGTGTGGATCTGATGGCAAGTGTCAGTGCAAAAATGGATTCAAAGTTGATGATAATACTGGAAAAACATGTATACCATCAAGTATGTATTATAAGACATTTATATTTATATATAATATATATATATTTTTAAATAAACTATTGCAGTTTTTTGTATAAATTTCTTTTAATTAATATATTATAGTACTTAAATATAAAATAATAATTAAATCTATAAATTTTTATAATTTAATAAAATTTAAGTATATAAATTTATATAAAACTAATTATATATTTATATATAAACAAAATGAGTTTATTTCTAATCTTAAATATAATTTTATTTGTATTATTAATAATAGTATTTTTATTTTTTTATTATATAGCAATTTCTGTAGATAAATCTGTTTGTTTGAATGGAAAAACTAAACTATTGAACAATGAAATAGTATGTGACTGTCCGTCAAAAGGTTATACACTTGAAGACGGTATGTGCAAACCGATTGATGTCTGTGCTAATGGTCAACCAGGACAACAGGATTGTGCAAACAAAAATGCAACATGTATTTCTAATGCCAAACAACCAGATCTGTATGAGTGTCGATGTTTGCCCGGAAAGTATAGATCTCTTAAATTAACATTTGAAACAAACCAAACCTATTGTATGGATTATTGTCTATACGATCGACGCCATGAAAAATGTGAGGCAATTAATGCCGACTGCAATCCAGTGATTGAGCCAAAAGCTAAAGAGGAGCTAAAAGATTTTTGTCGTTGTAAACCGGGATTTAGAATTACGGACAACAGTAATAAATGCGATTTAGCTATAAAATCGTTAAAATTAACAATTAATTTGCAAAACTTAAATACAATGCTTCAACCTGATACATTTTTAATTAACGATAAAATCGTACATGATGATGGATACACAGATTTATTTGAATATTATGATTTATTACACAAACAATCGTTACGTAATATGGATATTGAAAGACAAAAATCGTTTGATTACTATCGAGCCGTTGAACTCAACGATATATTGACATTCATTAAATTGAGTATCGGTTCGACAACATTTAGTCCGGATAACTATATTAAACCTGATTCTATACAACTGGCCATACAATCGTGTAATTACGATAAGACTAGCAAAAGCAATAAATGTACAATTGTGGTGGCATTGGATAAATCAGCTAGGGCAAATGATTTGACTACTTTGTCCGATGAATTCAAAAATTTATGTTACAATGATGGCAGTGGTAAATGTTTTTTCCCGGTCCATATGAAACCATTGCCGCCGCCAAAGCCTAAACCCAGTTCAACATTGAAACAATTAAAGTCAGACAACGACGACGACATACCTTCAAATTATTTTACTAAACAAGACATTACATTTGTTATCGAATCAAACAGTATGACAACTCCTGAAGTATTTAAGGTTAGATTTAAAAAATAAAATCAATATTAATATTTAATTCTTTTATTTATTTTATTTTTCTTTATTTTTCTAGCGTTGTAAAGATGAAGAAAGTGCTTCAATGTGCGGAACGTATGCCAATTGTGTTGAGGGAACCAATACTAGTCTATCACTGTTTAGCTGTTTATGTAATACAAAATTTTTCAATATTAACGGATCAGTTATTATTGAAACTGATGAACCCGAATATAGAGTTATCCGACAAATTTGTTCAAGTAAGTTTCACAAAATAATTACATAGTGCGACTAATTATTGACAACCAATTAATTGACTAATTTATAGTGAGACCGACAAAATCAATTTGCAACGATGTGTGCAAATCTTACGGTGCAAATAGCGTCTGCCAGGAAAACCTGGTCGCACCCATACATGAAGTTAATTCATGGACAGTACACACACAAAATCTGTGTCAATGCGCCCAATCGTTTAAGCTTAGTGCCACCAATGCAACCTGTATCGGTATGTATACATCAAATTGATCATGCTTAAAATGTCTATTTTAGCAATATCATTTTTTATATCAATAATAAAAATACATTTTATTTTTAATTATCTATTTTTTAGGCGCGTGTGAAGGCGTCAACTGTAATGACGGCAAATGTGTAACCACTGGACAAAACGGATACGCGTGTCTGTGTGACAGCAAATACACGGGTCAGCACTGCGACGAAAAACTGGGTGAAGGCGGTTGGATTGCAGGCATTGTTGTGTTGGCCGTATTGGTGGTCATAGTGTCGGGTGCGGCCATCTTTTTCTGTCGTCGGTAAGTCTATTCATTTGGCTTTTCCATTGCTTTTTTTGCTATTTTGTTGTATAAAAATCATTTTAATAAACGCCAGTAATGTTGTTGTTGTCAATAATAATAAAGGAGTCGAGGGAAGGGCGTACAGTCAACGACATCATTTGCAGTAAGAAATTAATATTCATGACTACCGAAGCCAACGAATATGATATCCAGAAAACGCCAGTCTATGTGTGATATATGTCATCAATAATAGTCAATATAATAATAATTATCATTATTTCTAAATACATTTAATACTATTTAATCTAACTATATATATATATATATATATATATATATATATATATATATATATATATATATATATATATATATATTATGTTATAATAAAGATTTTTTTAAAATTATATAATAATTGGATTTATAATTAAGTTAATTAAGAGCAGAAGCACAGAATATTTTTTACTATTATTATAATTATTATTGATTTTATGTGAAATATTTATAGATTTATTTATTTAAATATGAATTATTTTGTAAAAAAAACTTTAAATGAAATTATTTGTATTAATAAATTTTTAATAAATTTTGTTAATTTTTGCCATTTTTAAATATACATTTTATTTATTTGATTGGAATATTGCTTAAAATATTAAACATAAAACTAATGAGTTTTTTAGTCTCCAATTAAATATTTAGCCAAATATTAAATTGTTTTTAACAATCTGTTAATTAATAATAACATTAATTGATGAAAACATTTAGAGTGTGTATGATTTAATTATTTTTTTTGTTACTGAAATAAAAACATTTGCGCAATGTTTTCATATATGATGTGTAAATTTTTTTAGCAAAATGATAAATATATTTTTTTATTTATATATTAAAGTTTGAACAAAAATAAATTTTTATTTAATATTAAGTGAAGTTTATTTTAAGAAAATATTTAGACTTCATTTAAAAAAATAATCATGTTACATAAAATATTATTGGTAATTGCCCTGGTCAAAATTGTGACCGGCAATTATCCCAGTCATAATCATCAGGACAGCTATGGAGATGGCAGTGGAGGACATTGGACAAATAATCATGGTGGACATGGAAATGGTCATGATAGTCATGGAAGTCATAATAGTCATGATAGTCATGGAAGTCACAATAGTCATGATAGTCATGGAAGTTATGAAAATCATGGAAGTCATAACGACTATGGAAATCATGGAGGACATGGAGGTGGTCATAATGATTATCATGGAGGTCATGAAGATCATGGAAGCCATGGAGGTCATGGAGGACACGGACATGGAGATCACGCTTATCCTGAAGGCTATGATGCAGTTGCGTGGGAAATCATACCGCCACCACCGGGTCCGGGCGACATAGTGATACCGAGCATACAGGAGCTTGGCGAAACCAGAGATACTATAAACCGATGTCTGACTGATGACTCCCGAGGCGGTCTATGGGGTTACTATTTGATGCTCGTCGAAACAGTTGAGCGCCGACCATGCTATTTACTTCAAGCCCTATTCAATAATTGTTTGGGTGATCTCAACTACCGTACATGTGTTATACAACAGCTTACCGGTGCCCGATGTAATATATTTACGAGTACTGGTCCCGACTTTCTTCAATTTTATCTATCTATACATCAATTTCCATTCGGTGGCAACGCTACCGATATATTAAAGTTTATTAATCCGACGGCTGTCCGACAGTTGGTGGTCGCCGCTAATAATTATTGTCCTGGATCATAATTTTTATATTATTATCTTATAAATTATATGAACTATCCATTTATTTATTATTTTTGTTGTAATTGTAGCGTTTATTAATTTATTTTTTATTAAATAAAATATAATAATTTTTTTTTATATTATTTTAAGTACAACTAATTATATTTACGTTACACGGATTTTACAATAGTTTTAATTTAGTTAAATTAAATATAGTCATTAAAATATATTTAATTATCTAATAATTTACAAAATAATAATAAAATAAAACTACTAAAAAAATGATTACAGTAAGTTTACTATAAGAACATAGAGTAGATTCATTATATTAAAAATTTTAATAAACAAATATTACAATTAATTAATAAACAAATATTTTTTATTAAATTAATATTAAAGCAAATTAATTAATTGTTTTTTTTATCAATAAACTTAATTATGATGTATTAACCACTGGATTACAGTATTTGACTGCATTGAGATCTCTGGCCAATTGCAAATCGTTTGCTTGTAAAACTTGTACCTGTGCCCATTGATCACTGGACAGCTCATACCTCCACAATGTATTCAAGCGCCTACCGTTTTCGGTATCGTTATACCGCTGATAGAATGGCATTGGATTGCATTTACTGTTACACTGGACCGGTATGTTATCGGCAAATACGTTGGTAGTGAAATCGGTTTTACCGTTTGCAAACAATGGGAAATATCGGGTCAGTTGGTTAGCATTGACGGAACCTAATAAAAGTTGTGCGGCAACGGGAACCGGGAGTTTGTTGTTTTGCATGACTCGGTTGATCGGTTCAATGAGATTGTCGTACGTATAGCACATCAATCCATAGCCAAACTGATAGAACTCGATAAGTGTACGATTAAAATAGTGAATCTTGTCGTACAGGTTCACGACTTTGGGATTACCGGTACGCGGATCGATCAAAATGTTTGCTACTGAGTTAAAATCGCCAACCGGTACCAAATGGTCGCCCGACTGGAGTTGCCAGCGCAGAGTTACCTGATCTAAATAACTGAGCTGAAGTATGAATGCAAAACTATAGTCATATGGAGGGGACGGTATGAATAAAAAAAATAAATTATCAAAATTAACTAATTGTATTTATGTTTGAATAACTAACTCATTGGTTCCCCATGGTTGTGAGGCGTCACCATACCAACCACCGATAGACAGGGCTGCCGTCAACGTGTTGACCAGCCATGCGTTCAAATTGCCAGCCGATTGCAGTGCAGAGGTCAACGATTCGGGTGACAAATACGATGGTATTGTTCCGTCATCATTCCAACTACGTTTAACACATCGCGGTTGAAAATCAATGGTACTGTTCCTTAATATACTGCCGTCACGTATACAGAAGCCGTTACGGTAGATACCGCCCCAACCAAAGTCCTTCCAGATACACGACTTCCAGGGCTGTGCAAAATCAGTGGTAAAGTCCTAATCAAACACATAAACAAAGAAACAAATTATCTACCGTTCCCTTTTTAATTTAAATTCAACAATTGATTGCTAAGTAACTTAAGATAACACTTACCCAATACGGCAGACCAGACAACGATTGATCGACTTTCCAGAGCTCGCGTTCAATGGCCAAAAGGAAAGCCCTGTTAAACGGCACTAACTCTACTGTTTTATGGGTTGCGCCCCACCATCGGGTATACAATTCACTGTAGGCCTGGATTGTACCGCACTCGTAGAGCTTTCGTATGGCGGAAATGAAGCGGCGTTTCTCACCCTTTGACAGACACTTCCAGTTTTTGCGAATAATCAGAGACTTTTGATGACACGGTTTGCAAACCGGTTTGACCTGAGATTCGTAGTAGAAACGGGACAATACATACCGTTTGACATTACGCACCTCGTCCTCTGTCCAATTGGTACGAGTGTGACACTTGCAATAAATGGCACGATCGCAGTCGTTGGCCAACAACGGGTTCGGGTAGTTGTCTGACCAGTCTTCGGCAAACGGCGGTATCGGTATGTACGGATCGGGATGCCATTGACCTGCATTATGACTACCACCATTACCATGACCACCGTTATAGTTATGGCCACTATTTTGGTGAGGGTTGCCGTATTGATTTCCATTGTGGTCATCGTTACCGTGGTGATCCCCTTGATGGCCATTATTATGATTATTACCACCGCCATGGCCACCATGGTTAGGCTGTTTGGGACGTTTACCACGTTGATCATCATCATTTACTAAATTAGCATAATATTATGTTATTAATAATTATTAGTTATTTAAAGAAAATAGCAATAAAAATATGTTTATCAATATTTACCCGTAGAAACAGTAGCATCGGTAGCATTATCAACATCATTGTCAGCTACTGTTTGTTTCAAACAAATTATACAATTTATTATAAATAATAAAATAAACAACTTCATTTTTTTAAATACTGTATATATATTTTGTTATTGTTGTTTATTTTTTTAGATAATTGTAGTCTATCTATTTCAATAAATGCTAATTATATTATTTGTCCATAAAATGTTGTTAATGTAATATTTTTATAAAAAAAAATAATTTAAAATTATCTAATAAACAGAAAATTTAAAAAAAGATTAATATAAACTTGATATTAATATTTTATAATATAATTAATATCAATGTTTTTTTCTAAAATTATTAATGTATTGTTAGTTATTATTTTTAATTTAGGCATATGTTTTTCACGCACGATAAACAAGATATTAACCTCAGGGATAATTGTGAAAACTGTAATAAAAAAAACATATTTGTTGAAACATGTTATCTTGATTAAAAAAATAATTTTTAAAAATATTAACTATGAAATAACAGAAAAATTAATATACTTTTTTTGAAAAATATAATATATTTTTTAAGTCTTAGGTATTATATCGTTTAGATCTAAAAATGCTTATCAAAATAATCTACTTGTGCTGCACAATATTGATCTCGATATCCAGTTCCCAGAAAGCAGAAAACTTGACTGATATACAAAAATTCATTGATGACAATTGGCCTGAACTGCCGCAAGAGGTGACCGGTTATGCAAAAGGCGAGTACTGGCAGCCCGAACCTGAGAAACCGTATGTACAGACCTACATACCGGAGCCATATCCGTCGGTACCCTATCAGTCCGGGCCGGAGATTATTCCGGGCATTGCCGAGATTGAGCCCTATCCCGATCCGGCTATAATACCGTCACCTGAACATCATCCACACCGAGACTATCCAAAGTATCCATTGCCTAAATTTATTGATGAAAGCATGTTATGAATAATCATATTGTAAATCAAATCATAACTGTATTTATAGTTTCAATAAATTATTATTAAATCTTATATTTTATAAATTTTATATTTATTGTTCAAATAAACAAATATTAATTTTATTATATCTTCAAAAACAAAAAAAAGGTTTTTTTCATTAATATAAAACATTATTATTATATTTATTTTATTAAAAATATTAAATTTATATAAAAATTAATTTTATTAATTAAATTATAAAATAAATTATTTAAGTGTTAACAGTTGGACTACAATAACCAATTGAATTAAGGTCTCGGATAAGTTGCCAAAATTGTTGTTGATATTTTTG